GGGAGGGGTGTTTGGGGTTTTTTAAAATTATTATTTAAAATGCAATAAAATTCAACACACATAAGGAATCATCATTGCTTCACAAGCAGTAGTCACAGCTAAAGTAATAGAAAATACCACTTTATAATTAAGGAAAATGAAGTTCCATTCCTAATCATCAGCAAAGATGAAGTCTGATTGTATAGAAACTTGGGGAGTCACATTCTAATTAATAGCAGGATTTTAAAAATATATCTAAACCAATTACTTGTTTACTCAGAAAATAAAGAAATTATAGCATTCTCACAACAACGATTTGAACTAGTTATTCCTCACTGCAGTGTTGCATTGCTTGTGGCACCATGTTCTAGAAAGTGATTTAAACCAGAATTTTAGAGATGCCAAGGCACTTTTTTAAAGCATTCTGTCCAGCTCCTTTGCTGCTTTCATAAACTTGTAGTAGAAACTTGAAGGCAAAGTACACAACTTGAAGGCAAAAGGCTCTGTAGTGAAAAAGGCAAGAAAGATTTTGTTAAGGTGACAGAAGGAGATGTGGAGATCAGCAGCTAAGAGATATGAACAGAGAAGTCAACCTTTCAGTGCTGAATAAGTGGTTTGGAGAAGGTGAATTAACACACAGCTTGTGGAAATATGTAACTTTTTTGACATAACCCAGGAGGCAGAGCCAATGAAGGGTGCTTAGAAGCAGAGTGGGAGGAAGACCAGCACAGTAAAAGGAGTAAAAATGGACACAAGAAGAACAATATTGCATTTGTCATTCCCACCATAAGGCTTTGCACTGGTGTCATCACACTAAAGCCATGAAGGGGACCTCCAGGTGTCTGAGCATCATTATGCTGCTACAGAGAGACTCTGGGAAGTCTCCAACGCTTTTACACTGCTTTTGACCACCTTCACTAGTAGCATTCTAACCCTGTAATGTCCATCTTGGCACTTTTGTACACAAGTCTTCTTTAATGCTGCCTAGAATAAGTAGAAAACAGTAAATTATAGTTGCATGTCCCATACATTCTTATTTTGCTGTGCGTGACGATAGTCAACTCAACCTGACCTATGTAATTGTATAACTTATAAATTCACAACATTTATAAATTCACAGCAATACTTTCAACATTTATAAAATGTTGAAAGTATTTTGGACTGAAAAGCATCACTGAAAGGCCCAGCTCAGGTAGGCATATATTTAACTTCAAACATATAAGTAGCTACAGTCTAACAAAAGTGCTGTTTGTATCCACAGGTACCTGAGGTGTTACTACTGGGCAGTTCGTAGTTTAATCACCATCGGTGGCCTTGCAGAACCACAAACGCTGTTTGAGATAATCTTTCAACTGCTGAATTATTTCATGGGTGTCTTTGTCTTCTCCAGTTTAATTGGTCAGGTACATAAAAATAACAAGATTCAAATTACTGTAATGTAGTGATAATATATTCAGTTGAATGGATTTCAGTTCTGAGAAAAAGTTTAGTTTCCATCCTCTATTTTAACATCACATATACTTATTTTTCTGATAAATACAGGTGTTTAATCAGTTCCCTGTTTTGCAGCTGTTTTGCATACAAGCTGATTAAAAGCTAAGACTCTGCAGGACACAGATGACCTTTGAAACTATGTATAATTCCTTTTTTTTCCCCCCTTACTCACAGCCAAGGAGACAAATCCTTGACATTCACATTATACTGTTAAATCTGAAATAAAAATTGTGATTGTTGAATAGGTCATGCTCAATACTACTACTGATAGGATTTTGTTAATGGAAATCTCATGATTTTTGTCAAACTAGAACTCTGATCTCTTCCACAAATTACAATGTGTCTGTCAATCTGAAAATTAACTCGCTTCTATTTCTCTTGGTTCCCATTTGGCAGGAGGGAAATAAAAAAGCCCATAGCACAGCAAATCAGTTATATTTCCAAATGAACATGATAGAAATATTTCTGGTTTGTAACTATTAAATTTGGGCTTTAGATCATAGGTTTTAAAACACATTGCCTACAAAAAAATAAATGCTGAGTTTTCTGAGTGAGGCCGTGCCTTAGCAATTTCTGTAGAAATCATTCCAGACTTTTTGATTTGTCCATGCTTATGAAATTAATTATTAAAAAAAAAAAAAAGGAAACTAAATTAAAACTGAAATTTAATTCTTATTTTGAATACAGTATTTGAAAAGTTCAGTCAAGCAGCTAGAGATTGCATATGTGTCTTGCTCTTTGGAACTGCAAGTGGGGGTAACTGTCACTGAAGAGATTCTTCCTTATACGATTTTAAATTCCTCCATAAACCAGAATTACCAAAAATAAAACAATACCTCTATATAAAATATTTCTTCTGGAAAACTATTTAATTCAAGTATATAGAATTAAACTTCAGAGTTTGCATATTTATAATTTTTCCCTAAATTGTTGTAACTATTAATGACAGCCTCATTTCCCCAAGAAGATTCTGCAGATTACTTTTCGCAACCAGTGTAGTTATTTGTAGTCTCAAACTTTAAACCTTAGCACACAAACTGCTTCATTGCAGTTCGTTTGTTATAATTCCTGTTTAGAAAGAACCCTTAAAATTATTATTATTCCTGCTTTAGCACACTTGCCTAAAAATTGTTATTCCCATTGCAATCAATTGCACCTCTGTAATAAAGAGCAAAATTCAACCCATGGCACATTAATCCTTGGCAGCTGCCACATGAGCCATTCCACTAAAATGACATCTGAATACTTATTCTTTTGAAGAAGAAATATCTATAAACATTAACTCAACCACTTTTTAAAAACTGAATCACATTTGAGTTGAAATGTTAAATGATGTTCCTGCGCTAAAAACTTTAAGGTCACCTTTCAGTTCTCAGAGCTCAGGACTGATCTCTTAACTATTTAAACAGTGGCACAATCTTAGTTCTAGTGGTGTCAGATGATGCTGTTACAGAAATTCAGCCCAGTTTGCTTTGCTTCTGACTTGCATTGCATGCCAAATACAGAGTAGCTTTACTATGGATTTTTAAGAAAAGTATTATCTATAATTTTCATCCATGTCCAGAAATACAAGACAGAAGAATAAGCTAAAACCCAGAAACAATTCCTCTGAAATCATGTTACAATCAGATTAAATCTGTAATGTTTTTGAAAAGGGGGATGAAGCACCTATTCAAAACATACAGCCGAATGTATAATTTTTTTCAAAAAAAGTGTAATATTATTTCATAAGTTGCTGACAAGATAAAATCAAGACTATTTTTCTGAAATGTGTGGTAAAAACAATTGATATTTGCAGATGAGAGACGTAATTGGAGCAGCAACAGCAGGGCAGAACTATTTTCGTTCCTGTGTGGACAACACTGTCTCCTACATGAACACCTATTCTATTCCAAAATTGGTGCAGAATCGTGTTAGAACCTGGTATGAATACACATGGGACTCTCAAGGAATGCTGGGTGAGGATTGCCAATTCCAGTTACTTAGCATGTCTCAGTGAGAGTGGTTGTACAGATACAGATACAGAGTGAAATTCACATTTCTCCTTTTCTGAATTGCATGTGGGAAGTGAGAGGAGGCTGCTCGACTTACTTTGGAAAAGAAAGAAACTACAAAACAATGACTCTTACTACTCCACAAACCCTATTCATTAATACAATGTTTTGGTAGTAATTTTAGATAAGATTTATTAAGCATCTTAGTAAAAGCATATTAGCTGCTTCCTCACTTGAACTCATAAGTGTTATAATATCTCCATTAAGTTATTTTTGCTCTTTTTTTGTGGACATTCCTTAATTTGTCTTTTTTTTTTTCAGATGAATCAGAATTACTGGAGCAGATGCCAACCAAAATGCATTTAGCTGTTGCAATTGATGTGAATTTTGCCATTGTCAACAAAGTGGATTTATTCAAAGCAAGTAGTTTTACAGAAGAATGCAGAAATATGTGATATTCCATATAGAAACCTTGTTTTGTACATCTTGCAACACTCAAGTGTTTAACATATTTGTTAGTATGCAAAGCAAAATAAGCCAAAGAAATGTCTCAGTGAATGGAGATGTCAGAACAAACACAAGTGCCTGCTTTTGGATTTCTTTTGTGTTGAGGCAGTGATCTTGAAAGAAACAAATGAGATTAGAACAAAGTCCTGTTATGATGACATCCGAGTGAGTTCAGAGTATAACTATCTCAACAGTCAGAGAATAATCTAATTTTTGACACAGTCCACCTTGCTGTGGCCACCGAGGTCTGCCTAAGAGATCACCCATGCTCTGTGTTCTGGCAGAGTTCTAACACTGGTATAGAGAAAGCTGCATCACAGTCAGTTTTTGTGTAAAAGAGTTTTCTCTTTACTTACCACGGTAGTTTTCCAGAGCCACAATTTGAAGGTGCGCTTAAAATTGGATTTCTGGGACAAAAGCAAGGAGACCCTGAGTTTTTAGAAGTACACACAGAAAATTTTGTTGTTAGGATATTTGTAAGAAATTACATTATATACCTGTATAAAAATTACATGGCTGTACATTTTTTCTACATCTGCTGAAGACATAGAGTTCATAGATCTATATGAGCATTTGACAGGATCTGTTGTTTTCCCTGGATCAGTTTAAAAAAAAATCCCATAAAATCCTCATAAAAGACACATAATGCTCTGAACACAACACTAACTGAGCTTCCTCAGAAAATCTAGATGTAAAGAAACTCACTTTAAAAAAAAATGAAAATATGTTCAACCCATAGAGAACTTCATAAGTATTTGAAATAACAACTCTTTCAGTCTATTCTCAGCTCTAGTAGCTGATTTTTATGATGTTTTGAGTTTGCATTCCAATTATGGAATCCCTGGATTATTCCTGTATTGGCTTTTGAGGCACTAATAATCACTTTTAATACTGAATTAGCAGAGTGATCAACTCTATTTTAACAGGGCTGTGATACCCAGATGATATATGACATGCTGCTGAGATTGAAATCCATTGTATATTTACCTGGTGACTTTGTCTGCAAAAAGGTGAGAATTCTTGTTTTATTCAAATAAGAATTATATTATTAGAAAAAGAGTGTTTTAGAAAAAGAGTTCAGATATCGGTCAACAATGTCCTTTTAAATAAACTTAATCCTGACTGAATTAGAAAGCATAAAATTAATTAAGCTACTCTGTGTAATAACAACAAATATGCTCTCAAATTTCAATCAAGAACAAGACAATATGAATTTTATTACTTACATTACCAACCATGAAATTATAGTAATATGGGAAAGTATTTAATGTAAATATGGCTTATCTAACGATACCTCAAGAAATTTTAATATTTAAAATGGATGAAATATAATGTTTCTATACTTCTGTACATATAAACCAAGCCTACAGTTCTCAGTCTATGACGCTTTGTGTTTCATTTGTGTACTCAGACACACTTAAGTAGAATTATCTAAGAATGTAGAAAATACACTGCTCCCATAAAGCTCCTTCCAGCAGGATCTGCTTTGCCTTCACTCACAGCTGTGAGCCACCTCCAGGTTTCCAGCTGAATGCTGTCACACTGTCTCTTATCAGAACATCTTATCAGAGATGTTTATCTTGTCTCAGCTTTTTGGCTTAAACCTGGCCAGGCAGATATTTCACAGGTAAATAGCTCAGCTTCTGACCAGAGAGCCCACGTCTCTTTCCAGAAGGCACATAAACACAGGGCAATATCAGATGCAATCAAAGCTTGGGGGGATGAACCGCAATCTGCACTACTACTGCTCTGGCAAGTGACCCACAGGTCCCACCACCTACACAAGAGACCACCAGAACCCCTTAACTTGTCTGTAGCAGTTCTGGTCCAACATCCTTACTAAGGTCCTGCTCCTTTCAAGAGTTAAGCATACAATCCTCCTCCAGAGTGCTGGGCTAGCTCCACTGTGCAGAAGTTAAACATTTGTGAATACACTGAAGGATCAAGTTGTGTCCCTTCAAAGACCAATCCCAGAATTGTTGTTGGCTAAGAAGGGTGGAAGAGTAGTTTGGTGTGTTTGTTTACACAATACACAGCATGAAAGGATCTTAGACTACAGCTGGGACTCTGTCACAACAGAGGGAATAAAGAACAGCAACAGATTCAAAGTCTTGACACTGCAGTCCAATGCAAACAGTTCTTAACAAAGACAGGCCACGAGAAATTGAACTATCAACTTATTACAGCCTGATTCACAGCTAAAAGGCCTCTCACTTGTAGAAGTCTACTATGTGACCAACAACCATAGCAATCTTATTAATGCTGCAACATGTAGTAGGGAATGTTGGAACCACCTTCCCCCTGAATGTATGTTGGTCTCACCCTACTTCACCAAGGAGATGCTGCATGCAAGCTTAGAGCACTAAGTGAAGAGGTAGAAAGTGCAACTCCTTTCATTTTCAGTCCTGGTTCTGTTGCTGCTGCTTTTTCACTTTTAAAACTAAATTGCCGCTTTGCCTCATAATAGTGGTACACCCTCTGCTCATGGGAGAGTAGAAAGATATTTAAAGAAGAACCTGTAATATTATTCTAATAACAAAAACCATTGCTAAAACATGGGCTCTTTATGTGTTTGTATGTCCAGGGAGAGATTGGCAGAGAGATGTACATCATCAAACAGGGTGAAGTTCAAGTCCTTGGAGGCCCTGATGGTACCAAAGTCCTGGTTACACTAAGAGCAGGAGCTGTATTTGGGGAGATCAGGTAGGTCTATCACAGTTTTTAGTAATTTCTTTTAGAACTTGTCAAATAATCAGTGGTTGTTTAACTTCTCTGTGGTGTGACAGTGGGGAGGCTAGAAAGTGGGTAGGATGAACAAAGAGGACACTGAGCAAGGACATGCATGTAAGTGAAGGAAAATCTAAGTGAAGTATCAGTGATTAATAGGGTAAGATCTGAGACCAGTGTTTTGATCAATGCACCCAGGGATATCGAGACAAATTTCTTCTTTAGCATTTTAAAGATTTAACACATCTCCTGTTATGCTGTCTGCAATACAGGAGGACTAAATGCATTTTATTGTCTGTATAATAAGACTAGGTGCCCTTAAATGGCAGATGGCAAAGATGAAAATTAATCTCCAACAAAATAGATACAAAAATCTAAAATAGCAATTAAAAATAGTTCATTTAAGAGATGATTAAATTGCTGAAAAACAGACAACCCAATTTGAAAAAGTATTCATTTAAAAGCATACAAGACAAGAAAAAGGTGGATAGACCAGATTTTTTTGTCTGGATTTATCTGGATGAGAATTGTTTTGCTGGTGGCTACAAATGGTATTTATATTGTGCATGTACTTTCTATGCAAAATCCATTAACTTTTGTGTGCTAAGTACCCCAGTTAGCCAATCAAGTGCTAGTTTTTAGGCACTGCATTCCTCTGCTGAGGTTGGCCCAAGGAAAAGTAATAAACTAAATGTGCTGCTGCATGTGATAAACTGGATCCTTGGTTTCTTCCAGCTGCCTTCCTGTTATTGCTAATGCTGTTGCTGGTAGTTTTAATCTGGCTTTTGAAAAGCAATAATCAGCTCTGTACCAAGTTTACATTTGTCCTCTAGTTGTGTCTGCCTTTGTAGTAGGGGAAACATTCCTGTTTATCCAGGGATGTGCATACAGAATTTGCTTAGACCTCAAGTGGAAAACACCTGATATAGCTCAGTTACAGAACTTGTTCATTAAGTGGGAAAGTGAAATTATATCAGTTCTTGGAGAAGGTTATTTGGAAGGTATTTCTCTGTGTGACAACATAATTACCTGAGTGAAAGCTCCGAACAAAAGGCTGTATTGTAAGTTATGCAGAAAGACTAAGAAGGAACTCATCAGTAAGGGCTGAATAATGAAAAGACAGAAGAAAAAGCAAAAGCAGCCCCCATATGTAACACACACGTGGTTTTCAATTATTTATTAGCCTGGTATTTGAAGGGAGAACTTTGTATTTTAAACTGAGAAATGATAACTGTTGGTTTCAAAACAAAGAAGGGATTTTTACACTTTTGATCTAACACAGGTGAGCACTTGTTTCCATGTGAGAACCACACAACGACCTTTAAAGATTCATTTCCCAGTCCGTGTTACTCTTTACATAATTGCCAATATGGCCAGCAGAACCCTGAGCAATGCTATAACACTACAATTCTAGTCTTGTTTTATTCATCACTGACCTACTGCAGCAGCAAACCCACTCAGACACGTGTAATTTGCATATAAAATATCAGGCAGTGGATAAAATCAAGGAGAAAAAAACACAGCAACTGGCAGACACGATGCACTAAGTTTACCAGTAAAGATATGCTCTTCCTAGTGGCAAGGTGCTAGAAAATAATGAATTTGTATTGTGCCTTTCAATATAAATTTTTTCAAGGTCTTCTGAATAGAGAATACCACAGGCAAATGGAAAAGAATATTCTTTAATGGATTATGTACTACTTTTTCTAGGACATCCAAGTTTTTCTCTCACTTTATAATGGTTATAACCTGATATCAGGCTGATTTTCTTCTGATTTCCAATTCAAGATTTGTTTGGAGAAATAAGTCAGCTTCCTTCTGAGTGGTTTAGGTACATGATTTATAAGATGCTTGCTATTTAAGCTCACTCTGTTCAAAATGCACGTCAATGATGCTTAAAAGTCTCCAGGAGCAAAGGAATAAAAAGAGTTTATCTCCAAAAACTTCCCTGAATTATACTAGAAATCCAATGCAAAAGTAACAATCAAACATATCCCTTGCCAATTTCATCCTTAAAAATTATTACAGGAAGGGATGAAGTAATATGAGCTCCAATTAACATTTTACCCTCATTGCTACTTTCCTGTACAGATATCAGTTTGGGGAAGTAAAATAATTTCAGGATCAGAAGCAAACAGATTGTTGTCTTAATGAGAGCCCATCAGCAAAGACAATTCAGAACAAGAGAAATCCCGTTATAACAACAATTCACTAGCCCAGAGACAGTTACACTTGAAGCCAGATGTTCTCATTCATCCATTTACTGGTATTTCACTAGAACTATTTCCTATCAGAAAATGTTATTTCTGGAAAAACTAAAACATTTCTCCGTTTTATGTAAATTTTGACAGGAAGATCTCTAAATGTTTGATCTCAGCATCAGCTTTCATTTGTTTAGTAATTTTAAACTTCATATAAAAAACCCAAACTACAGGCACTATTCAGTTTTGTGAAAGATGTTTTCCAGTACTTTGGTCCAGGATTTCCCTCAAAAAGTAGTAGCTGCTGTTTTTGATGGGCTCTGCCCTTTGGAGTTTGACATCATTATCAGAAGCAAGGTCCAGACCTATTTCCCTTTCCTGACTTACCAGCTGTCCTCATATGCACACAGGTGTCCAGCTGAGCCACCACAACCCTGCACGTTCAGCTGATAACACAAGCCATTCTCCAATTTCTAGTAACGGCAGCTTCCCACAGCGATCAGCTTTAAAAACAATAAATAAGCTGAGTCATCACTTTGACAACCTTATAGCTTGAAATTTCATTTACTAGCATAAGAATTCTAATGTTATCAACTACTACTATTATTAGAGCATTTGACACTCAAAACTGGAGTAAAAAATGTTAGGTAAAAAACGCAAATTTTGTGATGAATATAGATATTGCATTACCAAGAACCCTTGCAAGGCAAATGTACCCATTTTAAAAAATGTGGTCATGTAACTCTTCACAGACTAACCAAACCAGATTGAATGCTGAAGTACCATAACTTTGTCCTTAGTCAAATATGGTTCTGTTTGAGCAGAGACTGCCTCACTTGTAAAATTCACCTCACATCATCACCATAAGGAAAAAGCTGATCTCTTTAGTTCCCGTCTACCTTGATAAAATGAGCTTTCTGTTAGAAAAGCCTAAAAATGATTGTTCAATGACTTGTTGAGAAGTGATTCATCAGAGCTCAAAAGGTATTTGCAATTTTCTTTAGCAGCTTTTCCTATTGTGCAGGGTTTTGTTCTATTTATTTTTTATTCTATTTATTATTTATTCTATATATTGCGCAGGGTTTTGTTCTATTTATTTTTTATTCTATTTATTATTTATTCTATATATTGCGCAGGGTTTTATTCTATTTATTTTTTATTCTGAGGAATCATAGAAAATAGTTTAAAAAGAAGATTATAAACTGCATTTTCAGCTTCAGTCTATGTATTGATGCTGTCTTGAGTTGCAGAAAAACACTCTATAGGCATGCAAAACTAGCCTTGCACACACAGTCACAGAGGTCTCCTACTATTAAATATATTACCTATATTATTCAATACTTAGAAATATGTTTTATAAATATCTTTAATATTAAAACAAATATATATCCATTATTATTACTTCAGATGAGTATCAATTCCTGTTTCCTGGGGTTAAGAATATCTTTTTTTACTTACTTTTAAATTTAGATAAAACTAAATGCTCTCTAAAAATATTAATTCAATGGGAAATCTTTAAAGGACAAACTCTGGGGTAGATCTTGAATAAAGTGATAGAGCAATTTTAGTACTAAGAACAAAATGCAAATTCTCTTACTTACCAGCAGAGCTGACAAGTGGAGCCTCTTCAATTTCTTGGTGCAGGATGAACAATTTATTTTTATTTGTACATCTAATTTTTCTTACATGTCTTCCCTCCGGCCAACTGCTGCTAGCTAAACTGGTCTAATGCCTTATGTTCAAAACAAAATAGCCTTCTTTTTCTGGCAGACACATTTCTAACTGTCAGCCTGAAAGACCTTCCTAAACTGTATCATTCATTGCCAACATTTAAACATAAGATGAGATATGTGAGAAAACCAAAAACAAGAGCCCCACAGAAGTTATTCAGTCAGGAAAAAATCCTTGGGGGAGAATAATTCATTCACTGTAAATAATGCTGCTCTACTACTGATGCAAATAATTTTCAGCAATAAAACTGACAAAATGCCAAGTTCACATAAGAACTAAAACAAGTGTAGTCTGAGCTGTGGGTATCTCTATTAGCAAAACTTTTTACAGTCCTTAGCATCTACATATGCCTGACCACCGCTCACAGTTTGCCTTCCTGAGATGGAATCTCTAATCCCATCTGCACAGGGCCTTCACAGAACACTGGATAGAACAGCCAGCTCCAAAGTGAGCTTTACAATGACTTCATTGGAGAAGCACAGGCAGGAAGATTCCTCACTAGGGCAAGTAACACTGTGACTGATGGTGTTTATTTTCATTCCAGCCTACTAGCTGCAGGTGGAGGAAATCGAAGGACTGCCAACGTGGTGGCTCATGGTTTTGCCAACCTTTTCATTCTGGACAAGAAAACACTCAATGAAATCTTGGTGAACTATCCTGACTCAGAAAAACTTCTCATGAAGAAAGCAAAGTATGTCCTAACAACGGTTTTTAAATCATATCATTTAGCTGCAGGATGGACAATTGTGACTCCTAGACTATTTGCATTCCTTTCTTGGAAAAGTGACAGTTGTAAACACATTTGGTGTTAAGGGTCAGATTTGCCTGGTAGTTTCTAGTTGAAAGCATGGTCTTGGAAGGAATCCCAAGGCTTATGGAAATGTGGTAAGTAGAACGAAATACTGAATGTAGTTGCCTTATGCATTATATTTAAGATAACATTAAAAAAAATAGGAGATAAGGATACATATCAGGACTTTTTACATCATCAAGAAAGAAACTGCAGGACAAATATTGGTTAAGGAAAAGGTTTTCAAAGATGCAATGAAACACTTGCAACTAATTCTACAGAGATATGCTTCAATGCATCCACAGACTTGTACGTATTTCCAAAACCCTAAGCAGCAGTTAGGAATGGATTTAAAGTGAGGCCTGACAAAATGGAGTTATACAGGTTAGATACCTGTGCATTTTATTCAAAAGCATTCCAAAAGGGGATTTCAAACCAAGATTGCTTTTCACCTTCCTTTGGCTGTAGCTTGCAAAGATCACCATTTCCACAGCTTTGAAAGGGCAAAGGATTGTCAGATTTTGTCATAAAATTATGACAAAATGAGTACCTTACTACCTTGTAAAAGATCCAAATATTTGAAATAGTTTGCCACTATTAGTATACTTCAGCACCCCTGCTGGTCTCTACTGTTGCCTCAAATTGCTGTCAAAGGTTGGAAGGTTGGTCACAGACTTGAAATTCCCCCAGAGAAGACTAAACATAGCACAGTATTGATATTTTGTTTTTCAGAAGTGCTAGCAAATGGCTGCATTCATCATATTGTAACAGCCCAGGTAGTCAAACAACAGTATCTTGAGAATCATGATGCGCCTGAGGAACAAGGAAACCAGACACAGAATGGGCTGACTGCTCAATTTTCAAAACTAGCATTAAAAGATAGAAAAGAGGAACAAATGCATGGACCAATGATCCCCAGCAACAATCATTCCTCACTTTTCTCCAGCTTCTATCTAAACAGGACTATGACCTTGTTATGCTTGTCTCTCTGTCCCATGCTGCCTGTTTTGCTTTCTTGCCCACCCTAGGCATTATTCTGCCCACCCATTAGATTCTGCGTCCTCCAGACAGCCTTTCTCAACCGTGGAGCTTAATCATTTTGCATCTGCACTCCCATTTGAGCTCAAAGACCTCTCTAGATATCAGACTAAAAACAAGATATTCTGTTTAAAGATATGCAGTACCTGCCCTGTGCAGGAGGCCATGTTGCTTACCAGTCTAGGCATCCAAAAATTATGTCAAAACTAGGCACAAAGAGGAAATTTGTGCACTGTTCTCATAAAGATTGTGGTTATGTTCTGTTTTGGAAGAATGTTACCAGTTGCTCTGCCCTGGAAGGTTTACATTTGAGTTCTTTTTGGTCATGTGACACCCTTAAAGGGTCCCTTGAAGTAAACTGAAAGGATTTATTCAAGAAAGACATTTATTCTATCACCACCTGCCCAATAACCCCTGTATGTTTTTTTGCATAATAAAGCCATGCAAGCTGCTAAAGTATACCTTGTTTAATTTGTGGCAATGAAATTTAAAAAAAAAAAAAAAAAGTAAACCCATCACTTCTGAAACTCCCAAAGTACAAGATGCTGGAGAAAATTATAGTATTATGGGATTTACTATACTTCAGTCTGAGAATACAGTTCTCACTCATAAAGAGCCTTAAGTCAGGGCTTTTGCAAGGATAGAAAAGTGGCCTTGAAACCTGTACAGTAATCTAATAGAAAATGAAAGCATGGGAACCCTCTGCTTTTTACTGGTCCCATCTATCTCAGATCTTTCACCTAATCTTTACCCTCATTATTCATTCTCAGTTCTTGTCATTATGGCTGTAAATCAGTACAGCTACAGAACAGTGTGAAAATCTACTGCCACAAGGCTGGCAGTAGTGTTTGTATTATCAGGGTGTCTTCTACTGAAGAGGACCAAAATTAAGTACCACTGTCTAACCTGACCCATGAGAGATGAGCCATGCTGGAAGTTAGTTTGGTAAAGTATTTCCTCCAAAAGTGCCAACTGGAGTCCTGGTGGAGCACCAAATGCTCTCTGAATTTGCATCCAGAAGGCCAGATAAGAGACTGCCACCTCAGGATGGGGCAGCCATCCCCCTCCACACCTCTTCTTTCCTTATCTTTCTCTTTGATCTATTTTGTGACACCTTAAATTTTGAGCCAGCCCTTGTTTATACTCCAGGATATAGGTAAGCAACTCCAAATTTGAACAGTTTCCTCCATCTCTACCAGAGCCTGGGGCAAAACCTTTACTGTTTCCAATTTTGCTCCTGTCACTTGGCCTGGGAACCAAGTAAGAGCCATCAGATCTTCATGTATAATTGTGGTATTTCAGCTTTGCAGGAACTTCTCTCAGCTTCACAGCCTTGTTGTGTGTTCTTATCCCCTTTTTTTCTCCAGGGTGCTCCTGAAGCAGAAGGGGAAACCTGCTCCGGGACCACCAGTGCAACAACCACGGGGCTTGGCCGGTCTCTTTGGGCAGAAACAGGAAACTCCGAAATTGTTTAAAGCAATGCTTGGAGGGAAAGGAAAAGAAGGCCTTGCTAAGCTGCTGCAGCTGAAGAAACAAGAAGAAATTCAGGTAAAGCCACAGAAAACAGAGTAGAATCTACTCAGAGGGCTTGGGCAAACAGAGTAGATGAAAATTTAGCCTAGCTGCAATCAACAGCAAAAACTCCCAGTAGCTGAGATATAACCACTTTTCCTAATCTCTGTAAACATTAATTCTAAAATTTGGCTCAATCTTTCTGAACCTGGACTTTATGCAGACCAGAAAAAAACAAAAGCAAGGAAAAAAAGCAAGCAAACAAAAAATCTTCTAAGAAAGTAAGGATAAATGGATTTTACAAAGGCCTTAAGGGCACCTGATCTAATTTTATGTAAACAACAGTAAATACAGGAATACCCAAACACAGTAATCTGATCCAGCTGACTCGGGCACATGGTGAACTTTCCAATTCAGTGTCAGATCTCTGATTGTTAAAAATCCTGAAGACAAAATATAAAGTGTGGCCCACACAGCTAAAACTGATTAAATCTCTAATATCTTGCACTTATGAGAAAACTTGTTTTAACTGATGAAAAATAATTCCCACATAACACTCTGTTCTGAGAAATATTAATGTTAATAAGAACCTGCTCACTTCTACATATTTACCCAAAGGTGGTAGAATTCTTTTCTTTATAGCTGAAACAGCTGTGGTTATATTTAAGTTAAATAAAGAACTTTGCACTTTGATCACACCAATGACTATAACAATATGATTGGAGCAGAAATACTGCTCATTTTAGTGTGTATTTGTGAACTTATTAGCAAATAGGCTTGGCCAAGGAATGGGGGCAGTGTGAAGTATGTCAAGGTTTATGTAACACTCTTTCTTTCTCCACTAGTTTAAGGACATAAAGGAAGGCAAGACCTAAGGAAGGGTTCTGTGCCCCAAAACGGGTCTGTTTCATCCCCCTATATTAGTAAGAAGCAGATATTAATATCCACATGTGTTTCCTGGGTTTTATACTGATATTCTGATTCTGAAGTTGCACTTTTCATTTACAAACCAATTTCAGCATCTGAACAGAAATTTACACGTGTTGCATACCATTAATACAGTTGTCATGCTATGCCTTTTCATGGCATGTGCAGAATAGAACTACTTCCTGAATTTCTTCTGCAGTATTGGAAAAACATTAAACTTCTTGTTTCTAGGAAACTCAAACTGTAACAGAGACCAAGCCAAAAGAAGAGGAGAAGAAACCTGTGGTGCCCGCAGCCCCCTCCACACCCCCTGCTCAAAAGGAAAAGCCACAGGCAGATGCTAAGCCTGCAGTTATGCAGAGAGCAACCAGTAAGGAGTCTCTGATCATTAGTATGACACCATCCCCCAAGCCAGGAGAAGGAGAGATCCTTAAAGTTGAAATTAAAGAGAAAGAAAAGAAATAGACGGTGCTTCGGGGTGTGGCCCCATCTATTTGTCTTGCAATATTCAGAGGGCTGGCTGGACTTCGCTTTTGGGTATAGAATATAAAAGTAGAGACTACGCATGAGAAAAATCTACTCCAGCTCCTTGTCTTCCTGCCATCCTCTCCTGGCACAACTGCACAAATTATTTATATTCTTAACCTTGACACTGAAGAGAGAACTTTTGGTGTATTAGAAATTACGGCTCAGATTGTATTTCACACCACTTACTTGTTTCTTGTTTTACTCATGCTCTCCCTTTTCTCTTACTCTGTCTTATTCCTACTTCTCCTCTTCCCTCTCCTCTTTATCCTTGCTTTCTTCCTGTTGTTCCTGTTGCTCAGTTTGCTCTTAGCTTTTGTGTGTATTCTTTTCTCTTTTCTCCTCTCCCTTCCCATAGTTATCCTCTTCCTTGCTACTGCCCTACTGTTGCTAAGGTTCCTCATGTTTCTCTCTACCCTTCTCCCTCCTCCCCTTATACTTCTAATTGGTGACCTGGGTTTGTGACCAGTGTGGCTTAGAGCAGACAGCAGGTGCTATGTGTTGGGATGTTTTACCTTGGGACAAAGTGCAACATAACAAAACCATTGTCAAAAAATAAATCCCAAAATCTGCAATAGGAAAGCAGATTATAGAATTATTGCCAGCCCTTTGAAAGCATAAACATCTGCTCCAGCTGTCTTTGATTCTGGGAAAGACTTAGTTAACCCTCCAGAAGTGAAGTATAATTTTGGGCTGCTGATTTACTTGCTTGATCTTGTTAAGGGGTTGGGCATGCTCTCTGTTACATCTCATCAAGTAAGCACTTGATACAGCTGTCTGAAGAACCGTGGTATCTAAACCAGCTACTTCAAAATAAAGGCTATTTTATAAAAAGTAGGATTTACGCTTTCTGGCTCTGCATTGCAAAGTTGCAACCAATGGTCCAATTGTTCATCTACGTCATAGACTTAGACAAATGGTGCAAAGAGAAACCTATGTCTCTGTGTCTTAGCTACATCACACTTGTGAACTACAGTAAATCCTTCATGAGTGCCACAGCTGGGGGATACAGCCTCCCATGCAGGAGCTCCCACACTGCCAACTTTCTGCATCAACTCATCAATCTCAGATGCACTATTACAAAAAAGCTTGAAGCTGTGTTTTAAGCTAAACTCCCAACTACATTATTTTCTTCTATAGGTTAGCATCTCCTCTCTCTCCCAATCCCCTTTCAGATACCACTAGATGAACAGTTTTGTAAACTAAAAATATTATGCAGAGGCCAAGCCAAGAAGTGGCAAAGGCAGGCTTCACAGCTTCTTGGCTGACCAGCCAACCAAGGCACCATGCCAAATTAAAACACTCACTTTGCAGGCTATATATGACCCTACAAGCTATGCATTCCGTAGGCCTGTTCTTTAAAGCCTTTCAACTTCTGTAATCACAGGCAAAACTGGAAGCCTAACAGAATCAGTGGGAAGTTTGCCCACTGAAAAGCTGGATGAGTGAATTCCATATGTTGCATATTCCACAATCCTCTCACAAGACCAAAACCATAATCTCTTTCAAAAGAAAGTTCTTCTGCATTAGCAGCGAGGTGAAGGTTCAACTGCTTTGTGGAGAGAACCATCTTTATTTGTATGCAACTTGTTATTTGATGTGTAAGAAAAAACAACATCACAACAGAGGGAGAAAATTTTAAATTGTTTCATAAAGAATTATTCATCTATTGCACATCCAGGACTGTCTCAATGAAATCTCAAGATTAGAAATACTGCTGAACTGTTCCACAAATGAGACCGTCTATGAATAATAATACTCTATGAATTACAATGCATAGTTTCACATCCTTTTTTTTTTGAGAGAATTGTCAAAGCATTATGGAAGGGGGGGGAAATATTCCACATATTTTAACATTTTTGTATGAACGAGTAAAGCCCACTCTCATTGAAAAGAACCGATTCCCTTCTGCCTACAGAAATGCTACCAGGTAATTTTGAATGTTCTCTCTGTGGGCATATTTAACTTCATCAATCACACACTGACATAAATTACAAAGTAAAGGCTGAACTGCAGAGACAGAGCTTCCCACGAATTGCTGCTCTGCTACAGCTTGTAACAGCCCAGGTTTGCAGAAAAGTTTGACAGTTCTGTCTGCAAGACTACTGTTATGCACAGCTCGAGTTCCTTAGACCCAAAACAAACTAGGGGAAGTATCAGTGCAGAACAGTGGCCACACATAAATAACATCCATCTGGTTTTCTGTGATGTCCTACTTTTCTATTGTTGGAGTATTTTCCTCCTCCCACAATTCCTCCATTCTTAGGGTTGGCAGGCAGAAGAAGGCTGCACAAATCAAAGTTGCAACTATTTGTATGGTTTTCGCCAGACAGAATGATACGAGAAAGGTGTTTATTACATCTTACAAGATGAAGATGTAATAAATTCTTTCAGGAACTAACTCTATCCTGCAGATTCTTAACTAGTGAAGAAGCAGAATGAATTACTCTGGTGCACTTAGAAGATGCAGTTTCCAGTATCACAGTTGTCTCTGTGTTGTATCACATTCCACTGCAACACTGTCTCCTGTATCTTAGTGTCCTAATCGAGTCCCTCAGACTTGAATACACTTGAATGTAAAGATACTGAAGGGTAGAGTAGGATAATGTATTTGAAAACTACAAGTAATCATCTCTCTATGCCTCTCTAACTAAAATGTAGAGATTGTTCCTCGGAAAAAAATTTTGGAAAACTTGATAATAACTGTATGAAATAATATACAGGGGAGAACTCTAATGTGGCACAGAGCATGAAACAGTCACAGCTAAAACTCTCCAGCTTCCAAATATCTTCTTGCTAGAAGCCAGTTTAAGATGTTTTATGGAGAATAAACTGCAGTCATTACCACTAAATGGAAAGGCATTTTTCCTCTCCCTTTTATACTTGTTATAAATCCGTGGCATACTCACCATAGGAATCACAAAAGCAGCATTTAGCATTACACAGGATATGCTGAATACAAAAGCACCACAGAACAGTATACTGAAATGATCATTTTAATGCACAGGTACTGTAAATCAGTTAACTTCATCAGAACTGAAATACATATAAAAGTAAAAAATTCTGGTTACAGGTGAGCTCTCTGCTGTACATATGTATATATATTATGACCAATACACGGCAAAAAGCATTTGATGACAAAGACTGCCATACATCACTTTTATCACAAGGTGGTGCCAGTGACCTACGAGCACATTCACTTTACAAAACTTGGACAATATTTTGCTTAGTCACCTGCAAGATATTAGTGCATATTTTACATGTAAAAATAAACAAAAAATGGCAAAACAGCACAGTAATCACCCTTCCCCTTGACTCACAATCTGCTGCATTTCTTCATTCAGAATAGCACTTCAGCCTACCTTAGGAGTTTTGAACAGGCATTAACTGTACATCTCTAAGTTATACCAGTTCTTGCCAAGGTCCTGTCTGAAACATTTAATTTACAAAGAATAGGGCACATTGAGAATTAGGTGTCACTGATACGCATTTAACTCCCTAAGCTTGAGGAACATGGGAGAAATTCTCTAATAAGAGATAATGAAGCCTCTACTGTAGAAACTCAGAATTTATGTATAGAATACAGACAAAACAACAGGTTTTCTTTTACATGCAGCAGATACTTAGTATAATAATACATACTAACACATTTAAATGCACTTCCATGGCAAGTTAGAATTCATAAGACACAGCTCAGGTCCAGCATTATATTTTTGGCAGACAGCTCAGAGGAACTTCAGTAGTATCCTATACTCCCATCAGTAGTACTCATCCACTACAATTAATGCAGACAAAGCATTAATATGCATCCAATTCTCTCTGTACATGAAACAGATGGCCGTGAAACAGTTTACTCTTCCAAAATCATACACTCTCAATTGCAGCAGTGTGATTTAAGTTTATTATAGTAACTTCATTGATCTCAATATTTTGAGTTGCATATCTGATATGACACTTCATTATAATTTATACATAAAGTAGTAACAGATTTTCACTACACTGATAAAAAGATGATTACAGATTTTTTTTACATAAATATGAGTTACATTTTAGAAAAAGCAAGAGCTTGGCTTAATATGAAACAACCTCTCTTCCTTAACATTCCACTACTTGATATTTAGTATTTAGGATCCCCTTCCACCAAGAAAAATGGAGTGGAGATAATATAACCATTTATGATTGATTGATAATTCTCAACTGTCCACAAAGCATCTGTCTTGTGTAAGATAATCTCAATAGATATATATCCTTCATCCATCAATGTTAATGTGAATTCAGACTTTTGACAGGATTATACATGTAAAACAAAACAAAAGAATAAAGAAAAACGAAAACAACAACAACCAAAAAAAAAAAAAAAAAAAAAAAAAAAACCAAAGAAGCCCCCAGAATTAAAAATAAAAAAAAAAAAAAAAAAAAAAAAAAAAAAAAAAAAAAAAAAAAAAAAAAAAAAAAAAAAAAAAAAAAAAAAAAAAAAGCACACTAAGCAGCTCCAGCTACTAAAAGTCAAATACACTATGACCTGGTGAAATCTTGAGTGTCCAAGTGTGCTAAATTTAGCAGTAGCCCATTCTGTTCTTACATACTACAGCCAGACTATCCACATGAGATAAGTTGGATGCCTAACTCAAAACCACTTCAAAGGTGAAACTGCAAAATTAATGTTCAAGATTGGCATTTCAGAAGTGATAAATGTGACCTTTCCATCCACTTATGTTACACAAAGTTAAAGGATCGGAAGAGATCCTCAGCAAGCAGTATGCAGCTGGAGGTCAAGAAACCTTCATTTATCCACTAAGCAAACACATAACTTAGACTTAGTATAAAAGGTGAAGGGAAAACTTGACCCAAGTAAATAAATCAGAAATTGTTTGCCCTAGAGAAATGCAGTATGATTACAGGATTAGGGCTTGAGAGACTTGACTTTTTTGTGTCTTCCCAAAAGGAGAAAAAGAGGGAATATCAGTTTTTTTTGCAGGCACTTCTCATTAGTGGGCTTATGGAAAAACAGCATGATTCAAAATATGACAAAAGTAAATACAACAGCAATTTGAAGAACTTACTTTACCTCAAAATATGCAGTTCTAAATCAGAGAAAACTTGTAAACTAAAAACCGAATTCCTACTTCACAAAAAGCACTTTGAAGATCAATAGTCACGACTCTTTTGTGGAGGGGATGGAACCCCAAAAGAGAACCCCTACCAAAATAAATCTCGAATTTCCATTTTCCAGTACACTGCACATTGGAACACATCTTACAGCCTTTACCTCATAGGCCAGTAGTACTATTCTTAGATGTTAGAGGCTGACCTTGATTCACCCTTGTTATTCCCACACTACCTTAAGAGAAGGCATACTACAAAAGAATATATACTTTAATGACATCTTTGGCTTATGTTCACACAGTCCTGAATCCCAGGCATTGCCCAAAGGCACTGAAGTGGCAAACAAGAAGCAGCTGTGCAAGGAGGGCCTTTACACTCTATGGCACTTGTCTGAATACAAAACACCTGTATCAAAATTTTGTTATGGCGTCTTGATAGAAACTCTTTTTTACACTCTTTTCAAAATCAAATGTATCCATGTAAGCATTATCTCTCAAATCAACATCAAACTTAAACACCATTACAATTTTGGCCCTTAAAAGGCACACTTGGCAAAGTGATTTGTAGGCAAAAGCTAACAGACATTATGATACAGAGGCATGTGTACACGTATACAGAAGTATACAGAGAACCAAAGTCTGTAGATACAGCAAGTAAAGCAAGCACAAAGTCTTTCCTCTGCTCAGCCCATTCATTTTGCAGCAAGATTCTTAGGAGGCTCAAGTTTGTACATGCTGAAGTAGTTCACCACTTGCTGAGGGACTTCTGCCAGGACACACTGAGCCAGAGCTTCTTTGGGAGACTTATAAAAAAAGAACATCAAGCTTCAGTTACCACCAACTGCTAACAAAGATTCTAAGGCAAGCAATAATCACCTCCTCTAGAAGGGCAACTTAAAATCTGACATTTTAGAGAGGACTTTACACAGTGTCCTTGTGTGACAGACAGATGGAAGCTTCCCTGTCAGCTTTACCTTCTCCCTCCTGTTACTACAAATCAGATGGCTGTCTTGTGCTACTGAAGTAACAGGAGCTGAGTGCACAAAGGGCTTCCATGTCCGAAGACACCTTTTGTTACACGAAATACACAGCGCAGATATCAGACTTCAGCTATCTGCTTAAGATGACCCTTCAGGGATTTGTTTAAATCATTTGAAATTTTTTGCACCAAGCCTCATCCACAATAACTGTATTTATATGGAGTAGCTCTTCTGCAGATACTATTTCTACCGCAAGACTAAGTATCCATAAGAAAAAAAAAGTCTTTTTCTAGAAACTGAAAGCACTTGAATGTATAGTATTATAGTGAGCATTAACCCTAGTTAAGTAGATTAACTAATCCAAGTGTCACTTGATAAGCATATTCTGTATTGATTTTGCTTTTTCCCATTTCAGTTTGCCTGAGTTACTCTGAGATTAAACAAAGAATTGGTATGAAAAGTAAAAATGTAAAAGCAAAATAAGAAGTTGTAAGCAGTATTATTAACAAGTTAATACTAAGACATGAAAAAAAATTAGAATATATTAGGATGGAAATAAAAATATTGATCTTATTTGCCCATCCTGAGGAAATTTTTGTGGATCTTATTTAAGTCAACTATTTTCAACATTATGACACTTAAAATTTGACTTCCATTAGCCTACACACACATTATTGGATTTTACAGAAATTAAAAAATATAAAAAACCCCATCCATTCATTTAATCAAGTCTGAGAGAGTTTTACAAAGGTCATTCAGCTGCAGAAACTAGCCAGAAATGCAGTGCTGGAACTAAAAACTAAATGATTTAGAGGTTTTTTTAGCATTTGATAAAGACTTGTCTTAAGAGGACATATTGGATACACAACAAAAGCTTAGGACTAGATGTAGGACATCATAGCAAGCCCAGCATACGTCTACAATATTTATTAAGCATATCAGTAAGATTACTTACATTTTGGAACTTCCTGAATGGCACAAACTGGACAATGTCTCTGACAGCTGGCTCTCCTGATGAGGACCTAAGAACTCCATTGTCACCATCAAGAAACTCCATGGCATCAAAGTCTGCTCCTCCCACACCAACAATGATAATGGACATGGGCAACCTTGAAGCATTAACTATGGCAGCTCGAGTTTGATCGAGGTCTGTTATCACACCATCCGTTATGATCAGAAGTATGAAGTATTGCTGTCAAATCAATAAACACTGTGTTATGACAAAGAAATAGCAAACATTTAGGCACGTACACTTAGAAAAACCCACATACAGACTACTACTTCAGCATTTCAGTGTGCCCATGGAATTTTACAGTCAAACATCTAATTTGTAGTCAGGCTTCATCTGTACAGTCAGAAAAAGTTTGTAAGGACAACATAATCTTTTAAAAGAAGGTATCAATAAACAGCCACCGTCCAAAACTCCAGTGGTATCACTCTTCTTTCCTCCAAAATCCCTAGATAAACCAACAGTTAACCTATTTTCCCATTATTTGTTCTAGGATAGAAGGCAGTTTACTGAGGTTTTAGAAAGGTAATACCTTTGAAACTTGTATTTGTTTCCTTTCTGGTTTATCAATATCTTTATGAAACACCATCCTTTACTTAATTCGTTGTATCTGAAAAATCCTAAATCACATCTTTTAGTGTTGAAATACACAGCTCTTTTCAAATTCCTTTAATTATGTTTTCTAGCTGCTTTATGAAGTTAATTACCAAGGTGACTGAGACTGCTTTGTAGTACATCAGTAACTTAATTAAGTACCACCTGAGTTGCTTCCACTATTCTGTCGGGGCTTCTAAGAGGCGGCATCCTACCTTCTGTTCTGGATTGGAGCACCAAAAATGAGCCAGAAATACCAAGTCTGTAAATTATCAAATGCTTTTTGAATTTCCAGTCTTCCCTCACTTAATTTCAGATGATTACTGAATAGCATAAATTCAAGTCCCAAAGATACACCCAGTATTCTTACAAGTCTCTCTTCACTGCTTTCCTTTCCATCTGCCTTTATCTACCTTCAAATAATTGTTCTTCCCTTATCTTGTCTGTTTAGGTACCACCTTTTCTCCCTGCTTTCTGCCAGTCTGTTCCCCCACTACAGCAAGAACATATATAAAGCAGTTATGACCACAAAAAGCTATAAGCAACTGCAGCAGGATACAACATCACATCAGATTTATTTCTCTCTTCTCCATACTGGATTTATTTCTCTCTTCTCCATACTTCCTCCATATTGGGAAAAAATCAGCATCAGAATCAAAAGCCAATCCCAAATGACTATGATATTGTATTAAATGTCAAGGTAGCAAATTGTCTTCAATACATCCTTTCAGGCAGGAAAAATAAATCTCTTGCTAGGCATACTACATAAAACAAAAGTTAAAAAAACCCAAACAAAAACAAAACCAACAGGAGGTTTGCTCCTTTCCTAAGACAAAGACAGACACACATATACATACTTATTTTATTTTGTTTTACAGCTACTAGTGAAAGCCTTCCAAGGCTAAATTACCTTACCAGCCTCATGGCATATGAAAATCCATAGCTTTTTTTCAAATTGGTTTCTGCTGATAATTTGACATGCAAAAATAGCTAATTTTATTTTTTTTTAATTTTAAGTGACATCAAATACACTAGTATTTGCTGTCGTCAGTGATTTAGGATTTTCTAAACTTCATGCATTATCGACATGACTGGATAATCAAGACTTGGTCTTCAGAATTTCTATTTTTAATATGAGTCAACAACTCATGTATAAAATTTTAATATGGAGGAGGGTACAGCCCATACAGCACCTAAACCTTTATGGTACAGTTAACTATCTGTGTTGGTACCTAGGTGTCAGGAGCTATACCATCCATTTCTTCACTGCCTTAGTTAATCCTCTCTCCCAGACATCTGATGTGAAACAAGGACTAGTTGAATTTTTTTCTCAGCTGAGGTTAAATCACTTTCTTAGATATAAAGGCCTAAATTAGACTTGAGCAACTGTATAGCACTGCAAGAGCTTTGAACAAAAGATACCATAAAGGTGTTGTGTACTTTTAAGTTTCTGTTTCAAATCTGAAGAGTTTATTTAGTTAATTGATGAAGAGGACTGTTACATGCAGATGTAGTTTTGTAGTTGTAGAAAAACAACTAGTTTTTCTCTTGTTTTAAGAGTAACAAACATTTATTCACAAGGTAAAGGGCCAACTGTCACATGAATACACTTACAAATTAAAAAGAGAAAAAAGTATCTATAAACAAGAAGGAAAATAAAGAAACACAGAGTACCATAAAGAACTTACAGATGCTGTTTGCTGCTGAGTAGCTGCAGCCGCAAATCTTGCCACATGATTTATAATTGGAGAAAAATTTGTTGGTCCATATAATTTCACTTGAGGAAGACAGGCTCGATATGCATCAACAATGCCTTGGATTCCTAGAGAACAGAAATAGATAATTTTTTTTTTTCATATTAGATTTAGGATATTTTGAAGCACCTGATTTTCCTAAAGCTGTATAAATCAGTTACTTGAAGTGATGATGCAAAGATTTAAAACTGACCATGGTGGTAAAAAACCAAATTATTCAGAAGCAATGGAAGCTTTCAGTTTGACCAACGCTTAAGGCACATACATAACGTGATTTGCCTTGTGTGAACAGACAGGCCAAATACTCTATGCTCAAGGGTGTGAAACTGAACTACAGCAGTTCTCTTCACCTGGCAGCTTGTGGTGGTTGGTAGTCTGATCAGAGAGGCTACACTGAACAGGCACTAGCAGTGCCACACTCAAACCAGACAACTCCAAACCAGAAGCAAAGTAGCATAAAGTATCATGACAACACAAGAGAACTGTTCCCAGCCCTGTGTCCTGCTGTTGAAACCACCTCTTTAACAAACCATTACAGAAGACAGATGCAATGGTATTTCTCCTAAGAAAGAAATTGGTTGTAAAATTTTTCTTGCTACAGGACTAAAATAATTATTTAGAACAACAAGTTTCAGTTCACTTTTTAAGCATCTTTATGACTTCAACTTAGGCATTTTACTCTCTAGGTCTGATGTTACTTTCTCAGACTTACCATTACAGAATGGGTTTGAAGGGTTAAAATTTATTGGGAACTCATGGGATACCTGTGAAGACACAGAAAACACAGTCAGGACTCCATATACAATCTCCTCCTGAAGCAAGTGCTTTCAGCTGTCTTAGGTACTGCATTTACACATCCCGTTACCTGAAAGGAAGGAGGAATTTGTGCACCAAATCCAAAGGCTGGAAACATCTTATCTCTAAAGAAGCAATTTTAAAGAAAACAAAGTCAGTGCCTTACATTAAAAGCCAACATAATACAGTAAGTTTAGTTATCAGTGCTGCTATTCATCATTAAAAACGCTATTTTAGAAGCAAAATTAAATGGAAGTTCCCCACTGTAATTGTTTCTGGGACCAAACCTAGTCTTTAACACCAAACTGGCAAGAAATCAAGCATATATTTAAATCAATGCTGCTCTTTTCATCAATTATGAAAAGCCCTGCTTGTCTGCAGCAAACACAAACTATACTTGCAATTATATGATGGTATTTTAGTTCTATAACTTAGCTCAGAAGTTTCATTCCAGTATATCTGCAGGCATATTCAACACTGGTTTAAAAAGCTACCACAAGTGTCTATACATATCTAAAAAAAGGATCCAAATAAAAATCAAACACTTACGTATCATAATCCTGAATGACCATCCCGACAGACCAAATGGCTGTTAGGTATTCATTAACTCCATTAGGGCTGAGGTAATGCAGAGAGTCCGGAGAGCGAGGGTCTCCATTGGAGCCTGTAAAATCTATCCCCACCTGCCAAATGCAGCATTTATATCTCATTGCTCTTAAAGGTTAAATTACGCTTCTTATCTCTGGCAAAGCCAAAGTGAAAACCATGAAAAAGTAGTAAACATGACATCTACAAATCTAACAGGCACAGTACTTGGATGCAGGTTTCTTGGAATATTAACACTCTTCAAACAATGTCACAACAAAACCCTCAAAAGCTCTGCATCTCTCCAGAAGGGCCAAACTTACTTTCATCTTAATCACAGAATGGTTTGACTTGGAAGAGGCCTTAAAGATCATCTAGTTCCAACCTCCCTGCCATGCGCAGAGACAGCATTCACATGACGAGGTTGTGGACATGACAAGGTTGTGGAAAGCCCCATCCTTTCAGTTACTATTCACAGCAGCTCTTCAAAATCTGGTAAATTAATTTCATTCTCTATCTTGCCACACACACACACACACACCTTTCTTCTCAGAAGTACAACTAGTCAGGCTCCACAGAAGCCTAGAGAGGTCTTTCTCTGACTTCAACGGGTCTTCATTGCTTTGGTGATGAAGCTTGTTAATAAGGTGAAGACATCACACTGTTACTTGTGCTGCACTTGGTTCACAAACTACATAACTTAAGGGTTCTAATCCATATCATGACCTCTGCATGTTGCTTCCAAAGAACAGTAAATTTCTCATTGGTCTCCATCCACACAACTTAGCCAGTTCCTAATGAACATAACCAGAGGTTCAGAACCTGTTGCTGAGAGTAAAGACTGTTTTTTTCTGAACTGACTAGAAGCACTCTGGCAAAATAGCTTCCTGCTCCATGCTACAGAACAAAAACGAAGTCGACAAGAAAAAAAATACAATAATCAAATAAAGTGCACAGCCAATAAATTCTATACTTCAATTTCCTCCAAAACTCAAACAGTATTCATATAAATGATTTAACTTACGGTGAAATTCAGCTGACATCCACCCATGATGTAATCAAGGAATGTGCATTCTACAATAATCTAAAAATAGAAGACAGAAATTTTGGGTTTTTTTCAATGGGAGAAAACACAGCTAATATTACTTTAGCAACTTCTAAGTTCCAAATATGTTGTCTTTACCCATTCAAATCATTAGTTTTGCCCTAGAGCTATCCAACCCATTCACTGCAACCAGAATATTTGCAACACACAATACCATACAGTCACTGCATCAGAATCAGGCCTTTAACAAAACTACAGACAAACACCAAAGCTGCTCCAAAACAACTTCCATTTATAAAATAACACATTATGGCAGAGCTTTTTACTTTGCCTTAAAACAGTGAGTTGGGAAATGCAGTGGTTCAGAAATCACTTAAATTGGTAAGTGACCTTTCTCTCCAAGAGAAAATGAAGGGACAGGGGAGGACAAGTATATAATTCAGCTCTCAGTTTGTCTTCTTGTATGAATCAGAGTCCCTTAAATATTTACTGTGTGTGGAACTTCCAGACATTTTAAAGTTTCTTACAGTTTGAGAATGAAGATATACTAAATGAGAGTTGTTATGCCTTAACACTTAAAACTGGAATTATCCAGAATATATTACTGACCTCACAATGCTTAACACTCACAATGCCAGAGTTTTTATAGTTCTTTTTCTTCTGTCTTTTCTTTTCATTGATGCACTCAAATTCAACCTGCATGAATGCAAAAAAATCCAACAAAAATATTATAATATCATTTATGTAACAAGTTTAATAATCTTATATTTCAGGACTGATACTTTGGGCTTATATTAAAAATGAAGTTCATTTCATAATCCTGCAAAATTAAACCCAGCCTGCCCAATAACAGCAACAAAAAACATTCTCAAGACAGAAATCCTCTCTTACCCAGAAGTCTACAAACACATTTGTTTTGACAAATGTATTTCAAACAAAGAAAGAAATTCTGTACCATTCTCTGTCTGAGGATTCTGCTAACAGCTTTCTTTTTGGTAATGACATAGCAATTCAAACAAGGCATCAGTGTTTCCAGAAGCTGTGGCTGGAATTATTATTATTATTTTTATTATTTAGTATAAATACAATGCTCAAAATATTAGGAAAGTACAAGCATGCACTCTTGTTATATAGATCCCAGTCTTTTAATGCAGAAATAGTTCTGGAGGTTTTACAGGACTAAAGAAAAATATGGCAAAACATCTTGATAACACAGATATCCATAAAGCAAATACTTTTATGTTATGTTTACTAAGCCAGCTTTTGTCTTCTATATGGAAACCCTGCCTATTAAAAGGTATGGAAACTGTTATAGTTCATAACATCAGGAAGGGCAGTATCACTTTAGAAAAAAGCCACCTAATGTAACACAGCTGCATTTTTTTGCAGTGGCATAAATATTGAATTTTCTCATATTCACTAAAGTACACATAATAGTTAATAAGTGCCACATTTTAAAATAAAGAATTAAATAATATTTGAAAAAAATATTACAAGCTTTGGTCTTTTAACTGTAGTTAAATTTGTGCTGCATTCTGTCCTTTGACAATCCAGGGTTTTTTTATTTCTGTGTTTTTATGGTACGTGCATTTTTTTTGTGCTGATGATGGGGCATTTAGATACATAATAACAATAACTGTAACCAAGACATTAATCCTAGAAAATGGATGAACAATGCAAATGCTCTTTCAGCCTCAACTACATTGGCAATGTCAAGGTGTAGCCTAGCCCAGCTTGGAGGTCACCTGTGGCCAGGTGACCTAGGTTTTCCTACAATATGAATAAAACAGCTTATCAAGAACACACAGGCAGCTTAGACTATGTAACTTACACGTGTCAATCGAGATGCTTCCTTCAGTTGTGACATCGTTGTTTGAAAACTTCCTATGAGATCATGAGACCCATCACCATCATAGTCATAGCACTCAACCTAAAATGCAGCATTACATAGTGTTAGCAACAGAAATGGCCCTACAAAACAATGAACACTGAAATGGCAAACCTGAACATCCCAAACATTCCTGTATCTTTTACATCACAGAGTTTTTCCTTCCTTGGAACTGCATAGGGTTGCATTTAAAACAGATTAAAATTGGGTAGAAGCCAATACACTCAGTTTTGAATCTAATCTTCTACTCAAGTGAAGGAGAGATGAGAATACTAAGTAGCGTCAGGTCTTACATGAGCAACTAACATCAATTATATTGAACTATGTTTTGAGAGTTATGGGGTGTTGGGAAGAGTAGGAAAACAGCATAGGGTTTTTATATTGATCATGAATCTGAGCATCCAGCTAAAAATTGAGTAAATCAGTTATGTAAACAATCATGAGAGTTTTAGCAACACTTTTATATTACTTCATTAATTGTCAAAATAACACAGAATTCATAAGCATATGAAGGTTCAGCCCTAAAGCTAGAAACAATATTTGAATTTTTATTTTTTAAGATTAGCAAATTTAAACAGTGGATCTGTTAAACTATGATCTACACTTCATGGATCTGAATGTCAACTAAAAATCTCTTTTCCTGTAGTGAGAATTTAATGATAAGCTTTATTATTTAATCAATGCACTCTTTTAACAGCCCAATCCACCAAAGAAGGCAGGAGTGAAAAACACTTTTTTTTTTTTCTCTCTTTGAAAACGTGACCAAACAGCCTTTCTATATGAAAAATTGGTTATTTATCTATAAAAGCTTATGTTAATGGCATCCACTTTTGACATTTTACTTCAGTTCAGCAACACAGGTATGATAGCTAACTTAATTCTAACCACATAAAAACATACTAAAATCATTTAATAAAGATGATGATAAATAAAAAAAATAATAACTCAAGTCAAGTAGACCTCCCACATTACTTGGAATCAAAATGCAAACTTCAAGAAAAATGTTCAGAGTATATATTGCTTAAAGTAAACAGGTATTTGCATGTCCATCTTTCAAGTCTAAAAATATTGTACCTTACATTCAATAATCAATTTAACTGATTACTTGAGCATTTCAGTTAGAAATAAAAAAGCCAATCAAACAACTTCAACATACACTCGAGCTTCCGAAAGAAATTAAGTTTCTTAAAACAAGCAGGAATATTGAAGTACAAAACATAATGTGTAGATTGGGAGTTCTACTGCACAGAACATACCTCTATCTTGCAGTTTGCACCACTACAACATTTTGAATTCACTAATAAATAAAAAAATGCATGCACATGCACTGAACAGCACATTAAATTATGCAAGCAGCCAAAGAACCAACAGGCTAATTAATGTTCATGACAGATGCTATGTAAATTCTTCTGAATGCAATAAATTATGCCAATCAAATACTCAGCAAAGTGCTTCAGTAGCTGAAATTTAAAACTGAACATATTTCCTGACCCAATATTTCTGATACCTGTTAGCACAGTTAGTAAATGTATCTCCTTTTAATTTCAAAGACACAAAAATTTGTCTTGCGTGACATCTTTGACCCATTTAAGCCAATTTCTACTATTCCAGACAAGAGAGAAGCATTTTCTTTTTTTCCATATATGCCCTCCTGGACACCAATAGCAATAGGGAACAATGTGATTTAACATATTTTTCCCAGCAGAATCAGGCATGCCTGCTCCAGATGAAAGGCTCACATTTGAGACACAGAAAAACTTCACTGACTGCAAACACACTCACATGGAACATAACAAAGAATCCAAAAGATGAAGAATCAACTTGGTTTGTGCACTGCTGGGCATACACAAACTAAGCCATTAAAGAGGTGAAAAGCCACTCATAGAAAAATTGCTGGTTTTACTTACTATGCCAAACAGCCCATTACACATGCAACCGTGTGCATATAAAAGTGTTAAAGGCATTGTTTAATCCTTCAATAGCATTCCATAACACAATCCTGCCTACATTTTAATGTTTAAAGTGATAGGTCCTGCATTTCTAAGCCAAGGCATAATCAAACTGCCTGTCTGCAAGTCTATAAGTATTCCATGTAAAGTCTATTTCCTCTGGATATAAACCTATACTTCTCAGGTAAGATTTCAAAGAAAAGACTACATTAAAATGATGATAGAGCTGAGAATAACTCTTCAAAGATATATTTAGATCAGTGGTCTATAGTTTTAGTATGGCTGTTTACTGAAAAGGACAAATATCTTTATAGTATATGGAGATGTAAGAACTGTTGCAGCTGTTTTGGGGACAAGGGAAGCAGAAAGGAATGAGATGGAAAAAACATAGAAGCAGCAAGGGAAGAAGGTTGTGAAGTTGTTCATTAGTCTCCTCTATAAATATGTATTTAAATCCATCCAGGTGCTGGTAACACCCAGATCCCTGTGGCTGTTAAGGATTTTCCAGGACTGCCTCAAGTCATATGACTAATACCCATTACATGCAAATCATGCTCTAAGTTTTCCTTCCCAGAGGAAGAACATCAAATATAGCAGTTTGCTGCATTTGGGTTTTCGGGTTTCTTTTTCAAATGCTAAAATACCAGGTTTCTAATGTGATCATAATAGCTTATAAATGGCATTTTGATTGGCTGTTGAGCTTCAGTTCCACACCTAAAGGGAATTCCTGAAGAAAAAGATTCAGAAGTTAAACACAATTTATTCAAAATAAAATTGGAAAATAGAAAACATTACAGCCCTGGTAGAACTGTTACGTCACAGGAAAGATTAACTTTCTGACAGAAAATTCAGTTTTATATGAAGAGAAAAAGTTGCTAAAACTGGTATTCAAAAGTTGTATCTGACCCACATCCGTTAGCTAGTATATTAAGTGTAATTTATTTTATCAGGCAGTATATTAAAAATTTCATTAATGTTACCTGTTGCACCAGTAACAAAGTATTACAAGATCCATCACATAGAACAAAGTATATTCTAGACTTTAACATGCTTCTTTCACTGCACAGTATCTTCATCATCACCAGTATTGGCTGATGCCATGCTAGAATTGTACAATAAAAATAAGAAAATGCACGGGACATTTCAAAGATACTTGTGTCAACTGGTTTCCCAGACTTTCAAAGACCAGCTTCTACCACACAATACATCACAAATGTGCAGTGGTTTTCTTTTTTCCCCTAAAACATATCTGTGCCTTTCAAATAAGAAACCTAATACTTTCAATTAAATTTGAAACCAAAAAACCCACAATAACTAGAATAACACATCTTCCCCTTTTTACATATTTTAACTTTTAATGCATTAATTTATACACACATTTAATATACATTACCTTGATTGGCTTATCCATGTCACTATAACACAGAGAATTGAGAGAGATTTTAAAAGGCCTCCAAACAGGATTCAGATTGTTTTTAATAACCTGTTGGAAAAAAAAAAAGGCAGAACACCATTGTTCACAGGGCCAGAAAGCAGACATCTTAATGGGTCATCCCTTCATGCCATGATTTTTGTATGCAAACAACAATTGACTAATGCTGCTGTCAGTGCACTCCAAATCCCAATATGTAGGACATAAACTACTCTTAACATGCCATTGTTCAAAAAGAGATGGTCTCTTTCAGCTCCATATTTTGCCAGACTTCACTATCAAAATATATCCTTATATCATTCAGCTAATGCACTGTAAAAAGTTAAATTTATCATTACAGAAATAAAATACTGGTTGCTTTCTTTTAATAAGCACACATATATACATACACGTATAAAGGCATGCATTACCAAAAATGTGTGGAAAAATATTACATTGAAATTTCTGAATACATCAGTGCTTCAGAGATTACAACTCACTCCCACATATTATTTATTCTAAAATGTCATTTATGGAAATATACCCTCAAGAAATTCATGGTGTAGTAAAGTGAAAACATGCATGAGGACAAAAGGTCTCTCAAGTTAAACACTAAAGTGTTATTTACAAATAATACTGAAAGATCTTCAAAATTTGCCAACTGTCATCTGTAAATATACCCAATACACCAAATAATCATCTTAGAAAAGTATAAGAAACTACACATAATATGTACTACTTAATTAGTAACACCTAACAATAGTAATACTTCCAACACTGTAGGAGTGCTAAGAAAAACCTCTCTTGAAAATGAAACCAATAAAAACAGCAGTTAGGAAAAAAAAAAAAAGTTTTTTTGAACCGGTAACATAAAGAACTAATCCACTAGACATTTCTAGGCTGAAACAACAAATTCTGGATTTATTCCTAAAGTTGAAGACTGAAATCATAATAGAAAAGATGCACCTTAAGCAGAAGAACCACCTCATAAGAGAATCTGTAAGTGACAAAAAGAATTTATAGTTCTTCAACCTCCATACTTCAAAATGAATACAGCCACCACTTCCTATGGGTACAGCACCTCAGCTGTGAATTTTCAAACTACTCAGCCTGACAGTTGCTGTCACAGGACCCCTACACCCCCTCCTGGGTGAAAGGCTGCTGCTGCTCAAGCACGTTTTTCCTCACTCTGCATTCTCCTTGGCTTGCCCTTGCTATGCAAGCATTTAGCACCATTACTTTCACCAGTACAGGGTACAGCCAGGTGACACTTTCCTAAGAACAGCAGAGTCAGGAATGTCCAAGTCCTACCCCAGCACTTGGTAGAACTGAGCAAATGTCGCTGAGTATGCAGTATTTTTGCAAAATATTTGTTTTCTCCTAGACTGCTGAAAGTTAGAGGGAAAAAAAAAAGTGTTTTCTTTCCAAACAGAATGGCATATATCAAAATCAGCAGAAAGAGAATAAGGTAGATTTCTCAGAAAAGTTACTGGAAGAGATGATGCAATTTCTAAGTAGTCTGTACATCAACTTCAGGGCAGTCAATTCTTTTATAAAGGCATTGTATCTCTAGTGCTGTGCCATACTGGAAATTGAATAACTTTAACCTCTTTGTTCTTAACAGAAAATATCCTACCTCTGTTCTGTGAACCATCACCCAGTTTCCATCTCCAGTCTGTTTGTGGAATTCCAGATAAGGATCTGACTTTCCAAAAAAATCCTGTATTTAAATAACATGCAATTATCTCAGAACAGCCTGTAGTGTGAATACCATTAAATTCCACTTAACACACACTTAGATTAACAAAAAGTAAATTCAGGGAACAAAAGCTGTAGATGATGAAATGCAAATCTGATTATAGTACCACCTGTGAAAGAGGAAAAGAAAATGGGGAATGTCCTTCAATTTAGATGAAAAATGTCCACATGTGAAATACCGGACAGTTCAAGGAAAAGAATATTTACATTGACAAATACTACAGTGGATAGACAGGAAACTAATGATTTCATCCAGTTCAAAGAAAATATCATTAAATCAAAAAGTAAAAATAGAATAATTTTTCCATTATTTTTCTAATTTTGTTTTTAAAAGTGTCTCTATGGCCAGCCATATAGTCAACATAGCAAATTCATACACACCAAGTACACTTTTCACCATTTATTTCAGAGAGGTAATGGGCAACCATTTATACAGCCATTGGATACCAATGGAAACCAATGGATATACCAAAACTCCCTTTTATTTATTAATAAATGTAAAGATTTACATTTAAATGGGAGCATGTTGCTCATGGACTACCCCTGAAATGCATTTATCTTACTTAGAAATACATTACACTTCATTTCAAAACAGTCAATGAAGTTACTCTGCAGCAATCTTACTTCAATCTCTTTTTTAGTGTAAGTAAAATCTTAACGGATTTTATTTTATGAACAAAAAAGAGAATGAATACTCAAATGTTTCCTGCTTTGACAAGACTCTGATTTTACGACTTTAACAAAGAAACAGCAATCAGTTAAATACCTTATTGTCCAGTTTCCTTGCTTCTAATTCCAATACAACCACCCTGTTATCCTTTACTTCTTCTGCTGTAATCTAGGTAGGCAAACAAAATACTTAGTTTTTATTCAGGAACTACGTTGTTTTCTCATATTCACAGCATTCCTATGACATGTCCATTAAAAACGCCCCCATGTTTTCTCACAAATAAAGCATTAAAAAATGGGGATGGGCAGGGGGGAGGAAAGGAACAATTTTATTTGACATTGGGATTCCATTCCATCTATTTACCATAAATGATGGCACTGACAAAGATATGCCCCAATCAGTGGCCCGTTGGATGCCCTAACGGTGTTTGCAATGGGACCTACAATACAGAAGGTGGGTGGCTATAGGATGACAAAGATAGATTAGTGGAGGAAAAAAATGCTTTATAGCACTATAGAATACACTCACTGCATTCTAGCCACTAACTAAAAATAAAACCCAGAAACAATTAAGGATGAACTCTGAAGACATTTATTTCTTAACTCTCTTACCGTAATGCTTCCTCTTCCAGCAGGTTTGCCATTTTTAAGAACTAATGGTTTTGTTAGAGTCCTGCTAGAAACTATCTGCCAAGACAAAATTTGAGTATCAAGCATTATTAACACAACTTAATAGATTTTCAAAGGAATTAAATGAGTTAGTGAGGTATTTTCATTTTAGTAATGTCCCTTTTTTGTGAAGATGACAGCATTACATTTACTTATTTATTTATCTTCTATAAATAAATAAATAGGTAGCACTTTATTAACTTCAAAATTTTAAAACCCACATGCAGATGAATACATGCAGAGCTTCATGAGTAATAAGAATTAAAATGTTTTCTAGTCGCATGACACATTCATGGACAAAGATAATATCTTAGGGTCCAATTTCAGATTGTTCTTTAAGTTCTCCATACATACCTTTAAAATGCATGCAAGGCATATTTCATAAATGGATTCAGCAAATAGATTTATAAACACAAAGTCTGTCACTCAAAAAAATCATCAGCCTTCCCCTGCACAGTTTCCAGCTGATTTTATTTTACCCTATTCAGGCAATGCTTCCTCAGAAGTGTGTCTACTCCTTCTTTACCTTAAGAATGAATTATTAATTTTTAATTGACATTGAACTTCAGTTCACAATGCCTCTTTATTTTAAGTGCATTATAAGGATAAATGCTTAAGACATAGGGCAGGAAAAATCCCAAGACAACTCTTCTGAGAAGTGCCTTTGAAGGATCTATCCAAAAGAACAAGTTAAAAAGAAGCTGCCCAATTGTGATAGCATCAATAGCAGAATATGAGTTGGAAACAGAAGTAAATCTACAGGTGGCAGAACTAGGATCATGGCTTGCATTGAGTGGAAAGCAGATTACAGGGATACCATGGCCCTTGTGAGCATTAATACATTGTTCTACACTGATTCTCTTTTTCAGGAGCATAAAAATAGGAATTTGAGTATTAGAGTAAATAAATAGCAATTACTACAACTTTGTGCTCATTGACAGCCCACTTTTAGATAGCAATCCAGCAATCACCATCCTAGAGCACATTTCAGGGCATCATCTCAAGACCTTTTGCAAATAAAATGCATATGCACTGAACTGAGGCTTGAAAAACAAATGAAGAGCACCCTATTCAACTTAAGAGTACTCCAACTACACAAGAACATAGTGATAAATTCAAGGTAAAAGTGGCTCATGGTTTTCAGTAACTTAATTCTAAGGGAAATCATCTGCATGCTTACCTGTCCCAGCGTACATTCTAATTCTCCTAAGAAGTCATCATCACTCAGATCATAGGTTTTGTTATCAATGTCATATATTCCAAACTTAAGTTTCTGAACAAGCTCAAAATAATAATCAATTAAGAATTTCTTGGCAAACTTTGGGTTCAAGGAATTCTTAACTCTTTCTGTGCGATCAACCTGAAATTAGAAAGATACCACTTTATCTGGTATTTCCCAAACTACACAAGCAAACAAATCAAATACCTTATTATTAAAAATACTGAAAAATTCTTAAAGTACAAAGAGTACCTTCCCATAAACCTTTCATCAAATATAAATTATATTACAAAATATTATATATGCACATCATATTTCGAAATCCACTGTTTTAAGTCAGGGATACTTGACCTATTTTTCATCACTCCCTCTAAGGTGGGACCTATTCCTGCACAGGGAAGACCAACATAAAATCCTGTATTGTCAAATTCAGGATGAGACCCTAGTTTTGGAGTACTGTATTTATTAAAGCACTTAGAAGGCTTCTTCTGTTGGTCCACATATGGCTGGGGATCAGTGCTAAAAATCAGACAGTTGTAAGTATTTAATAGGAAATCATTATTCATGTGCTGCCCATGTAACTATTTGTTGTGGTTTAACATAGGTTGGTTTTCAGTTAAAGGAAAAATCCCAACCCACTACACTATTAGAGATACAATCTAACAAAAGGGCTGGTACAAAATTAAAATATTTTAATGAAACCATATGCTGTAGTGTTTTAAAAGGCCAAACAAGTCAGAATGTTTTTTTAGCAGTTTGTGAGAAGCATCAGGCTGTACCTCATACCACTGCTGACCACTTGTGTTCTGGAGAAGCACACACAGAGGGTCTGACTTGGAACCAACATCTTTATCCAAGAGATTGGTGCAGGCAATAGTCAGCTCCACCTTTGTCACACACTGTGCCGCCATTTGTTACACTAGAAAACAGCAACAGAAATCATCATTAAAATGGACTAAAACGCAAACAATACGATTGTCACAATGCATTAACTCTCTAACTGATCACAAAAAGTGTTACCTTGTCAAAAGTGATTATTTGAGCTTACAAATGCAAATTTCACACTTTATGATGTACTAACATTCTTATAGTATTATTACTGTCACATTCTTGTCTTTTCCACACAGGTATAAAAATTAACTTCAAAATCAGCACATAAAAAACAAGATCAGTTTCTGAGCATGCCTGAGGAACCAAATTAAAAATGAGATATACCCCAAAGGAGGCATAGTGGTTTGAATTGCTGACAATAAAACTTCAGAAGCTTTAAATGAAATCCAAAATCCCACATGAATGCCAGTATCTTATAATGTAGATATTATTAAGAATTCCATGAATAAGGAAAACACATATTATATTCTCCTCTACCAAGCTTTTGTAACAAAATGCTGAAGCCATAAGCATGACAGAATTGGAAAAGCCATTTAAGCAGGTAACAGGTTATCTTGCTTCAGTAAATCTAAAAAAACCCTACAAATTTTAATAATAAGGATAAACACTTTGAAGTCAAGTAATAATTGAGATATTGGGGGAACTGTTCTTTCTGAAGATCCATTACAAAAAAAAAAGAATAACTGAAAGCATCTTTACATTTTCTCTTCAAGTACCTCCATCATTGTCCACTGGACAATGTCCACTAAGACCAACACATATTACAAACCTACAGAAACAACTTGATTATCAGTTATGAATCCCACAATGGCATAACATGCATTTGCAAGCCCAAGAAGGTCTGAGCACCAGAAGATTATTATATATATATATATATATATAAAATCTCCATAATTATACACTTCAAGGATAGAATTGATCATTTATTATTATATATATATATATGAAATCTCCATAATTATACACATCAAGGATAGAATTGATCATTCCCAAAAATGCTTAGGGAATTAAACCTCCACAGTACAATCATCCTTGACTCAGAGACTAAAACTTCCAAACCGTTCCACAAGTAGCCTACCCTGGAAGCTCCCAAGCCTCTTTAGTTTCAAGTTTGCCTTCTCTCCAGTAAACCCACAGTCTAGCCCAAGTATCCCTCTGGATTAATTTATCTTAAAAGTGCATGAGACGCTGAAGAGAACAAGGCAGAAGGAAAGGCATCTGCTTCTCTCTGGTCAGCTCACTAGCAACATAAGTATTTGTATTTGAATATGAAACTCTACTTAACCCAACCCAGCTCTATTTCTTTCACTGTAAGACTTTTTATGAAAAGGAATGATTTTTTAGAGGCAAAAAGGAAAAGGAACATGGAAAAGACAAAGAACAAACTCAAAATAGGAGAAAGAAAACATTGTGGGGTCTGAGGACATTTTCCTCATGCTTCTTGTATTACACTAGGGCATAATTCACATGTTGTCTCATCTCCATTTTGCTATCTCAGTGATGGACCTTTTGGAGACTGAAGTACATATAAATTATCTGCAAAAAAACCACTCAAACATGCATGTACATATTTTAAGAAGCATGTCAGATTCATAGAAATCCTCATGCACCTCCCAAACACCTAAATGTGAGTTCTTCTTTGAGTATCTTTTTGTTCCCATGACTTTCATAAAGTTTAATTCATTGACCTTGAGGGAAAAGAGTGAAGGTTTAAGTACCAAAATAATTTTTAGACCAATGGTTTTTAGGCTTAGAAAGCACACCTCTTGAAAGCAGTCTGCCCCTTAATTCCTCGTTCTCTTTTTACACTGGTATTTTCCACTCCCTATTGCTTTCCTGGCTGCCAGACCAAGCTCATTAACAGTCAGAGCTTTTCCCACAAAATCCAGTGCAGACCAGTACATGACTCCTTAATGAGTTTTCAGAAAAACAACTTTCTGCTGACAAAATGATGCTCTAACTCCCACTGATGCTGCAACAGCAAGTAGAAAGGGTTTGCATGAAATGCAACAGAATTTAAACTTGAATTGAGATGCATTCTCAAACCAGTCCAAATTTTCTTGCTTCAATTTGTCTGACACTCCTCATTATTAAGAGTTCTTGAAAGCACCCATTTCTTTTGTCAAGGTAATATTTCCAAAATCACTGGTAAATGGATAGCATTGAGCCAACCTAAAAATATGGTCAGCTTTTTCCTCTTTGTCTGTGTGTATACTCTCACTTGTACAACTCAAGTACTTTCTCACATGAACACATCAATTCTCTTATTTCCTCTCCTCTTCCATGTCACCAACTCTCCCACTATGCATTTAATGCAAGAAAAGAGAAGATTAAGAAAGAGGTGCTATGCAAAACACAGACTTTAGCATAGAGAAGAGAAGAATAAAAAGGTTGATTCCCTTCCCTGAAATGCAAATGCTCATTTGAGATGCAACAATTATGTCCATATTAGATAAAAGACAATTTGCAACAAGAACATGCATTTATTTAAGTGGAGGACACTTAAAATTCAAATGAAGAGCAAAACTTCACTAATCACAAGATGATCCTTTAATCTTTACCGTTTCCAGTTTTGAAAAATCCAAGATGAAAAATAATGCAAGGCATTTTTCTAAGAAGTTTTGAGACTATTAGGAATATATATTTGTATAACAGGTTTAAGAGGTCTGTAATACAAAATATAGAAATAATTTTGTTATTTTACTCAAAAAATATGTTTCTCCATAAAAGTGATACATTTTACTGCAAATACTTATACTGATTTTCAGTAACATTATAAACGTTAAAAGTTAGTAAAATAATTATTAGTAAGAAAAAGTAATGTGTTATTAATCCAAAGTAGTATTTAAGGTAGTAAAACTTAGTAAATAAACAAGAGATACCTCTCTTACTACATTGCACACCTTACAGAATTTGCAGAGGGCACACATGCTTCACATGTGTGAAGTCAGGAGTCTTTCAAACAGCACTATCTGTTAGGGCTCTGCTCATGCTGCACAAATCCTCATCATCTCAAATGCATGAAAGGAAGAATTATGCCAGCTCCACCCAATTCACCTCACTTCTAAAAGCCTGTGTTAGCTGAAAAGTTCCCAGGGTTTGAGAGGTGGATGGTAGGATTTCTAAAGATGATAAACATCCTCAAGGATCAGTCACTGCCAGGTAAGCAAGCAACCTCTTCTTGAGAACTTGATGTAATACAGTCTGGCAAATTGCCATATTTTCAGGATGGTGGAAATAAATAATGGGTGCACTACTGCATTACCTCTTGAAATACCATTCTACAACACATCTAGTAGGCAAACCAAATGTAAAATATTCTAGATACATGACCAGATTACTTGAACATTTGGAATTGTGGAATAACTTAATGGACAGATTATATTGTTCAGGCTATGGTAGGATAAGCCTTGACTGCCAGTAAATTACAACACATAACAAGAGATTTAGTTTTTTAATTACTTAGTGTTATTAAAGTAGCTGTGCTCCACGTTGGTCATATTTAATTAAAGCCATTGCTTTTCTCAAGCTATCACAACTTGCCCTCCACATAGGGTACCATAATGGGAGGCAAAGCACATCAGAATGTGTGCAGGTGATAGCTCTGTCATCCTTTTTATTGAAATAGCTTTTATAATTGCAGAAGCCAGGCTTGAAAAAGTATATCTGAAGAGACTGAAAATTACTATATATAACATACATCTGAACTACAGTGATGTACAGTCACAAGGGATCCTCTGCCCTGTCTAGGCTGCTCAAGAGCATGATTAGGTCAACTAAGAATATGTCAAGTCTTTCTGCTTGAGCTGTAATTATCACAGCAAAAATCTAAGTCAAGGACTAGTCTTGTCTGGCAGTTTTATAGATCAGAATGTTCTTTGAACTCAAGAGATGATCATAATGAAGATAAGTGGTAGACATCAAACAACTGAGTCATTGTCTGTTTTCCAACAGAAACTGCAAACATGGCATTCAAACCTGGAAAGGAACAGATCTATTATCAGAATGATCTAGCAGCACAGTTGGGAACTGCTAGACTGTAGCAATCCTCTCTGTGCTGCAATGTCAGAGGACAGTACTAGCTTGCCCAGATAACCTTGCAGAGCATTACAATGACATGTTCCCAATTATAGGTGCATCCAGTCTGACAAGCAGAAATACCCAACTAAAACACAGAAAAACTAATGAAGTGAATTTGGCATCACTGTCTTTAGTCACAAGTCTCAAACCTGTTCTGATGGAAACTATTGCTGTCATTGAACATTTCCTAGCTCCTGTGAACTGCTAAAATCTGTGATTTTTAGATATCTCAGTGCCCAAATGAACACAGAACGGCCACGAGAAACTTGCAAATGAAGTCTATTCCTGATCAGATAATCTTGCCATAATGCTACACCTAAGCATTTTATGTCAGCTGTGTGCCAGACTGAAAAAGGCAGAAAATGCCATGTCTGCTGCAAGAAGCTGACAATGAAATTATGACAAACGGATACTTCTTCTCACTGATAGGGGTGGCAGCAACACAAGTGCTAGTGATCTTGGGCTACATGGACATAAATATATATATTTTTTAAATCTCAAGGTAACCCTTCAGTTGTCAAGGAAACAGACCACTTCACAGGAAACAGACATTTCATACAAGGTTACAAAAGCTAAGACTGTTTCACAACCTAATTTCATCACCGCATTTGAAAAAAATCCCCAAGAAACAGCCTCTCTAAAAAACCTACCTCCAAATTGGAACTATCACTCCTCTTTTCAGTTTGTTAACAGGCAATACAGCTGGAAAAATTGTCCAGCTGATGTGCTGACAAGCTAAGTACCAGAAGCAGCTTGAGTAATTCTGAATTTGAAGAACCACACAAAATCTTGAGTGTAAGCTTTATCTTCTACTAGTACTGATACAGCTATCACTTCCTGAGTGACAGCTCAGGAAGTATGTATGAGGCTCACTAACACCAAGTACTACATCCTGCACTTGGGTCACAATAACCCCATGCAGCACCACGGACTTGGGAAAGACTGGCTGAAAATCTGCCCAGTGGAAAAGGACTTGGGGATCCTGGTCAACAGCTGGCTGAACATGAGCCAGTGTGTGTCCAGATGGCCAAGAAGCTCAAAGGTATTCTGGCTTATAGCAAAACAAGAGTGGCCAGCAGGAAAAGGGCTGTGATTGTCTCACTGCACTTGGCACTGGTGAGGCCACACCTCGAATCCTGTGTCCACATCTGGCCCCCTCAGTTCAGGAAGGACATTGAGGTGTTGGAGCATGTCCAGAGAATGGCAACAGAGCTGGTGAAGGGTCTAAAGAATAAGTCATATGTTGAATGGCTGAGGGAGCCGGGGGGTATTAAGCCTGGAGAAAAGGAGGCTCAGGGATGATGTTACTGCTCTGTACAACTCCCTGAAAGGAGGCTTTAGCCAGGTGGGGGTTGGCCTCCTCCCAAGCAACAAGTGATAGGACAAGAGAACATAACATTAAGCTGTGCCAGGGAGGTTCAGGTTGGACATCAGGCAGAATTTCTCCATGGAAAGTGTTGATAAGCATTGGAATGGAGTGCCCAGTGAGGTGGTGAAGTCACTACCCTCAGAGATGTTCAAGAAGCATCTCATTGTAGCACTTAGTGCTGTGGTTTAGTTCACAAGACGCTGATAGGTCACAAGTTGGACTTGATGATCTTGGAGGTCTTTTTCAACCAAAATGACTCCATGATTCTCATATTCACAATTTAGTATAAAGGAAGAAATTAGAGCATTCTTAACTAAACAAGATTAGGTTGATAAAACCCTAATGACCACACCGCTCATTTTACTGGGGATTACGCCAATCAAAAACAAGCTAATGTTCAAGAAATCTGAGGTATATGCATACATGAGAATGGAAGCATAGTTTTCTGTATGGGAAATGAATAATCTATTTATAAAAGCTTTATGACACTCTATTGGACTGGGAGCACACTGGTATAACAAGTTAGACAACTATTTGCAGGTTGTTTCCGTATATAAAAATCTATCAGTAAGTTACATTGCCAAAGAACAAGTTTAGAATTCTACTTTTTTTAAAAAATCCACTGTAAAGTGTGGTTATCACATGTCCTCTGAACAGAGAGAAGCTGTGAGACAAGCAGAGAAGAAGGAAAACATAATTCTTATCTTGCTTGCTGTGCTAAGGTGGAATGCAAAATTGAGATTGTTTACCCGAAGTGAGGATGTTTTGTTCTCTTGGCGTACCAAGGCCAAGTGTGTTTGTGAGTCCAGACTGTCACGAGACAGTCACAAGAGAATCGAGATGAGTGCAGTTCTGTGCAGTTGTGAGCAGGGGTGAGTGCAAGGCAGATTCACTTTAGATGCAATGTATATAGTATAGAATAATAAAGTAATTATTTAGTGTTCTGATAAGATGGAGTCCTCCTCGTCATTTTCCCTCCCTCACATACGTCTGAGTCACCCGTCCAGTAAGAGCAAAGAAAATATTAATTCGACTTATAGGACACCTGCTCACAAAATTACTTCAAAACAGTTATTTCTAAGTATCTTTCTGTTGGTCTTTTTTTTTATTTTATTTTTTTAATCCTGTATAGACGTGTGTTTGCCCTTTAGGCACATCTTTAACACTTAGTTCTCCCCAGCATCTTCCTCACACAAAAGTATTCAGGTGATGTCTCAAGTGAGCTAAACTATAAAAGGTAATATTGTGCCTTGAACAAGAAAATTAAGAAATACAGATTGCCTGACTTCAAAATTCAATTATTTTATGCATACAGCAGCAAACCAGAGAAACATATGTTCTTTGCATATATGTTTATATGTTTTATCAGAGTATCTTTATACCAATTATTTCATGTAAAACCATCTATCAACTATGCAACATGAATAGATCTTAAATTGTGTGTTCTTCATTGCAATTTCTCTGTGTAGAGCCACTGACTGATTGACTACATAATTAACATTACCCACAAGAAAGAAAAGTAAAACTTGCTGTACTTTACTGTAGAAACAAGATGCAGGTGAACACATGCATTAAACTAATCCTTTTTACAGTTCTTTTCAAGTGATGTTGTGCCTCTTCACTGTTGCAAATACTAGTTCTTAAAAATGAGTTACAGTAAATTACCACAGAAGTCTGCCTCCAGGCCTCTCAGCAAAAGGTGAAAGCTTCAACCAACAGTAGCACTAAAATGTGAAAGGAAAGGAAATTAAAACCAAGAATTGTTATTCACATAGATCAATCAAAGTAAGAGGTTTGAGGAACTACAGTTCCTCTTAAAATAAATAACCTGTCCAACAGTTTTATGTGCCTATGATAATAGCACTGTAAGGATTACTCAAGGTTGACTCAGAGCCTTTATTAGAGAATAATATATGCTAAATATTATAAAAGTCCAGCAAGTAAAGCCCTTTAAGATTTTAAGAATGAAGACCTGATTACTGATTTGTCCTATTCATTTTTTTTTCTTAATAAGGTGACAGTGGATTAGAGTAAGTAAATCAAAATCAGTAGCCCCCAATGTTGTTTATGCTCTAACTAACCTGTGCATCCTTACACAGCTAAAGGATGACAAAGAAAAGTCCAATAAATCAGTATTCCACAGTGGTCCAGCACATCTCAGTACAAACAACAACATTTTGAAACCAACAATCACAAAATTGCACTTTACTGTAGCCCAGAAGTATTTCAAACCTTCCTGTATGCAAACCAAGTGCTCTCCAGTCAGCTGCCCTCCAGTTCTGTATCACAGCAGCTACTTGCACTCAGCATTCCCTGTGCCTGGGAGGCATCATTCATGCTCTGCATATCCACAGGCAGTGGCTCCTAACACAGGCACACAGAAACAATGCTAATCCTGGAACCATCAGATAATTACACATATGCTAATCACCTGCCATGAGGAATTTTTAAAAACCCTCCTGGGTAGGGGAAGTACCAGAAGCAAACTGCCACAACTAGAACTAATTCAGATGCCTCCTAACGGGGTGTTTGATAAAGCACCGAGTGAAAGTGCACTTGATCCATCTACAAGATGGAATGGATCTAAAGGATACAGTCCTCCTTCAATCAGAGAACAAAGCACGACTCAAATCAGTAATGACTATTCCTTAAACAGAAGCTTGGATCCAGCAACCAAGTCCCTAAAACTCCTCTATTCATAAATCCTTCAGACACTTAATAATGCCCTTTCAAAATATCTCAGCAAAAGCATCTCATCTAAAGCAATATTAAAGATAAACCAAAGAAATCAAATAGAATCAGAGTTGATGGAAAAGACCTTTAAGATAATATAAAAACCACAACACAATTCTACTTCCTGCCTACTTGCTTGCACAAGCCATACCACACCTTTAAATGTCATGCTAGGAGGGGCCAGTATTAATCTTTGCCTAACTGATTTATGAACAGAAGTAATATTCTTGGGTTTAACAGGAACTAATAACTACAAATACTAAGTTGATCACATATTACTTATGTTCGAAGACCATCCTGACTTTCACAGGAAAATAGAAAAGAATAGAAGGTATCTTACTCCCTTTGCCCGAAGGTATTTCATTTAGGAAACCATGTAATGACAGCATTTGTTCCTAAATCAAATTAAGGTAAAAAAAATTAAATTTCATCCCAGATATGTGATCAGTTGATATTTTAGTTTTATTACCCCTAACACTACGGCTTCCCTTTAGCATTCAATTCTGGAGAAAAATTTGGCATAAAAGAAGACTGTATGAACACTGTGGTATCAATTCTGCTACTTTGGATTTCTGGATGACATTTAATAATAGCTTAGTTGCTCAGCCTGCCAGAAATAGCTTTTTTTCTTTTGTTACCTGAACTGAAATTAGTCTAACAGTCACCTACAAAGAATCTGTATAGTATAATTTTAAGACATTTAGCACAAACATACTTGTTGCAAAAGCACTGCATTCTTCCTAACACCCCAACACACAAACAAAAGGACCTCTGTCTCTTACTCCTTTAACATCTTTCCTAGTTTTTTCTCCTTCTAATCATTTTGGGTATTCTGTATGCACTTCAAAACATCTTTCCTCTGTGAGTATACACATATAAAATTAAAATTTGAAGCTTCAACTGAAAAAAAAAAAAAAAAAAAGAAAATACCTGGGATTAAGTTTGACTGCATTTACTTTTACTAAATAAACTTTTTGCACCACCACAGAAATATCTTTAACTCGAACCTTCAGGGACATAACCCTCCAGGAAAATAAATGTAAGTGTTGGAGGCAGGGCAATACAGATTACTTTGAGGATACTTTGAAGACGGGAGTATGTAAGCAAAAGATGTTTCACATTTAAAAACTTTTCCCTAGTGGAAGCGTAAGTTATGACAAGATGAACATTATCTAAGATTTGTCTTGTATATATTACGCAACTACAGTGAAGAAAGAAAACAACCACCCACTCAACCAGCAGCTCAGAAATAACAGCATGCTGTTTTCAGGAACGATGCTGACCCTAGAAAGCCTCCTCTCCCAGAGGTAAGGGCGCTTTTCAGACTGCCATGTACACCGCCACAGAGATCGGCACTACGGACTCAAACCTTCAGGCCTACAGCTTTAACTTCACCGAGTTCCACTACCTGCGGGACGGCGGATGGGGCAGCGATTCCTCGACGGCCGCAGCAGCCGCAGCTGGCAGCGCGCTCCGCGTCCCGCCGGGGGAAGCGGGGCCGCAGCTGCGGGGGCGTTTACGCGAGGAAGTGGTGGGATACCAGCCGCCCGGAGCCCTGCCCCGCTGCCCCAGCCCCGCACAGCTCCCACTGCACGAGGCAGAGCAGCCTCGAGCTCAAGCCCCGCGGGACACGGCGGCCCCAGCGGCACGGCCGGACCCCACCCTCACCTGCAGCGCGGCCTCCGGACCCCCGACCCGCGGCGGCCACACCCGCGCAGGGCTGCCCGGCAGGCCGGGTGGCCCTTGCCCTTGTGTGCCCCCGAGCCCGGGCAGGGCCGCGGGGCGGAGCGGCTCCTCCGCAGGCGGGGGGCGGTGCTGGCTGCGGCGATGGCGGCGCTCATGGCGGCGCTGGCGCGGCCCTTCCGCCGCGGCCCCGCCGGCCTGGGGACAGCGCTCCGGCGAGGGACGATGGGCGGCCCCTACGGCCGGGGGCGGCCGGGGATTCAGGTAGCCAGGGTGTCGCTCGCTGCGGGAAGCGCGGCCGCTTCCAGGGACTACTTGGAATGCGCTGCCCGGGGGGGCTGGGGAGTCACCGAGCCTGGAGGTGTTTAAGGGAAGACTGGACGTGGCGCTTCGTGCCGTGCTGTGTTTGACGCGGTGGGGTTCGGTCAGAGGTGGGACTTGGTGACCTCAGAGGCCTCTTCCAACCTCCTTCACTCCGATTCCCGCGGGTGTGGCCGCCGCTCGCCCCCGCGGAGCCGCTCCGCCGGCATGAGGGAGGCGGGAGAACCGCGGGGCGTAACGAGGGACTGGTTTGTTTGTTTGTGCGAAAACTGAGCCCTGGGCTCGTTTGAACAGTACGCATTTGATTTTTGTTTCAAAACTTGTGTTTGCTTCGTACTTACGGTTTATGTCCAGTCTGGTGCTCTGTTGGTGTTTTCAGGCGTAATCGTGAGCTTCTGTTGAATATACTTCAAATCCTCGCTTTGTGAAGTGGTATTTTGTTTTATGAGGATTTTTTAACATTTTTAAGGGTTTTATTGCTCAGAATCTGAAATATAACCCGTGATACAGATAAGAAAAACCTTTTTAAACTCAGAGTGATCATTAATACCTATCTTATGATCCTACACAGGTGCTTAGAAAAAGCCTTCAGAGAGGAGTTGTGCTTTCAACAGGGTCCTTTTTGGTTTATGAAGCTCATAAGCTGATTTCTGGCTTTGCTGAGGTTCATGCAAGCTTCAAAGGTAATATTTTCAAATTTTGAAGTATTTTGGTTATTCTGATGTGACACTTGATTTTTTTTGTACCAGAATTATAGAGGAAAATTGTGTCATGCTGTTGATTTTTTCCATTAGGACTGCATGCAGTGTCATTTCATGACAGGATGCTTATGAATTGGTTATGGGTTATGTGGTAGCACTTCAACAAGTGATTATTTCAGGTATAACTGAAAGCAGATTAGTAGCTCATCCTGTCAGGGACAGAACACTTGCACAAGGTGAATAATAACTAATTTGTTGCCCAATCTTTAATTACTCTTATTTACTCTTACTTTAACTCTTTTTGAAAAGATATGGGTCTGTTAGGAATGCAGACCAAAGCTTAATCTGTTTCTAGAAAATTTAGCTAGTTCAGGTTTTCAGTGTGAATACTCTATGATTTCTGTTTAATCTAGTTGAGCAACACCAAGATGGCTCTTCTTGTAAAATTGAGAAATGTCTTCTATCTCTCTAACACTAAAAAGAGTGAAGCAAAGTCTTGCTTTACCTACTAGAAAACAATTTAACAAGTGGTAAAATGTTTTTTTGTATCCTTTGAGTAAGAATAGACTCACCGTGGGAAGGACAGTAACAATATCTTAAAAGGGGATATTGTTGCAGACTTAAAACTTGTCTATCTAAATAAGGAATTTCAGAGTAAGCCTGACAGAAAGGAGGATGAGCCTAAACTGAATGCATGCTCACTGCATAGTTGAGGTAGTAGCCAGTTCAGGTCACCTGTTTCCCTGTGTCTTAAAAAGAGGAAGATCTTAGATGTTTATGCAGATATAAATAAAAATTTTTGAATGGACAAGGAACTGTTTCATGTGCAGAAGGAGTATCAGTGAGTAGATTTGAAATAGCCACTCTACACAATTAAGAAATAATAATGAGGAATAAAGAATTCATCATTTCTCTGAGGAACATAAATAACACTGCTTAGTTGGTCTATTCAGTGCTCCCACGTGAATCTGACATTTACATTGCCAAGAAAAGCAATGCTAATGGTCTTTCTATACAAGATATGTAATAAATATGGTGAAAATAAGGGTAAAATAGAAATACCTGAAAAATACTCTAAAGTAATAAAAGTATAATAATTTGCATGAAACACCTTGTGGGAAATGCATTCAGAAGTTTTGAGTTCTGAGCATTTAGTCATTAGATATGTTAGTAGTGTTCAGGTCAGCAAGCAAACCTACCTGTTTAGTGAAGATCACCATGAAGCTCATTAGGGACACTAAAATTCAAAGTCCACATAAACCATTATCTTATCTTTGAAAAGGTTGAAAGAAGACATTTAGAGACAGCAAGGTTAAAAATTATCCAGAATGCATTGATTTGTATTCTAGGATCTTTTAAACTGAAGAGGAGGCTTCTGTGTTCAGCAGCCTTCAATGTTTTGCTTTTTCTGTCAAGAAAACTGTGCTGACTTTAAATGTGGCTGCCATATTTAGTAGGTAATTTGAAAAAGGAAAACATGATTAATTTTCATGAAGGGGGTTAGAGCTTATGTTTTGACTTCTAAGTTTGGTCATGGACCCCTGAGTAATACCAAAGAGACCATAAGCATAGGTAAAAGATCTGTAAAAAATTAGACAAGACTTTTGACTTCAAATATATCTTTTTAATGCTTTGATGCTGGCAGAAGAATAAACTTGAAGTTTGTTCTGCTGTACAGTTACACACATCAACAAAATTACCCATCTGCTTCCCTTTGGGTATTTTTCCTTCTAATTCTGTACTTTTTCACACTATAATCCTCTATAGTGTGGTGTTTGGTAATTCTGTTTCCTGTATGCTGTTCCAAGTACTATACTTATTTATATATTATTTATAATTATATTAATCCAGTTGTGGAAATTATATTCCCCCACCACTCTTGTGTTTCACAGTCTTTTCTAGAAAAATAAAGCATAAGAATAATGGTACTTAGTTCATAAACTGATATTCTAGACAGTCCATTCTGATTTTAAAAATTATTTTTGCTTTTAGTATATTGAACACGCAGGAGTTTTGGTAGATTGTCTTTTTTGGGGTTGTATTTGGGAAAATCCTAAGGACTTCTGTCAGAAATCCGTTAAGCAATATTTTGTTTTGGCTTGTGAGTAAATAATTGGACCCACTCAAACTGCAGTAATGTTCTGGCTAAACTCTGGAACCATATTGAGAATGAACCATATTTTTTAAAGTTTTTTCATTGTTATTGTAAGATTTAAATTCTTTACATATACTAATGAAGGGGCTTTGTTACTCTCAACTCTGCACTGCACTTGCTCTCCTCATCTATTGTTCATACTTTTTTTTCTTTTCTGCTATTTTCTCAAGTTAAAAAATAACTTATTTCTAGTAGTCTGATGCACTGAGAAAGACACCTTGGGATGTTAAATCTGTCCATCAACCAAAGCTGTCATGCTGAAAGCTGTTGTAGCCTCACTGGAGAGGCACCAGTTGTCATCTTCGTTGTGCATTGTACATGTTGCTTACTCAATCTTGCTATGCTTGTAAGTTTGAAATGATGGCCTAAAAATGAGCTGCATCATTTTCAGCTAGGTTGTCTTGCTCTAGAATGTTTTGGTGATAATGTCTTAATTAACTATCATTTGTTCTTCTGTTTCCACAATTTTAATTCCTTCATAAGTGGAAGATGTGATAGAACAAGCAGACTACCTGTATGGGAGTGGAGAAACTGAAAAGCTGTATCGGTTGCTGGTTCAGCATAAAAACAGGTACTTCATTGCCTTGGGACATTACTGTGGCTTCTTTTCTGTGCTCTTCTGTATCAGTTTTTCAACTGATATTCTCATTGTGGAATGCTGGAGAACCTATATTTCACCCTTATGTAAGTAGGAAATAAGGACTCAACATATTTTTCCTCCTAATGGAAAAATGAATAAAGAAAGAGCTGATAGTTGTAGGTGAGGGTTAACCCTCGTTTTTCAGTCATGGTTGTTTGTTTTATTATTCTCAGAATCCCTTAAAATACAGTGCAACATTCTGAAAGACTATAAAGTCTCTATTAAATTAGTAAGCCAGTGGTAGTTACCTAAAGTATAATAAAGTGTAAGCAGTGTTCCAAAGCAGTACGTTAACAAAATGAAACTTAAGATCCTTAAGCTTGAACGTAATCTACAGTACACCATTTGACAAAATTATATCAATAAATACATAAATGTACAGGTTTATGTACTGGTGGTATGGCTAATCTGTGTTTTTTTCACTGTTTTCTAGGAAGCATTTAATAATTGAAGTACAATTAGAGAAAAAAACAATGCATAATAATTTAAGCATTCTAAGTAAACATTAATGCAAATCAGCAGAGTGCTGGAAAAAATACCATCTAGCTAAGAAGAGAATACCTCTCCTTTTCTTTCTGCTGTTTTGAGTGGTACCATTGGGGTTTCTTAAATCTGTCTTTTTTTTGCAAAAACAAAAACCTTTCCTGCAGATGTGTTTGCTTTGCAGACCAGAATGGCAGAACAAAGATATTGTCAAACAGTCTATAATAGTGGGCTTTCATTTGCTGTTTGTTACCTTGGAGTTTTGCATAACATAGCTTGATAGATGATTCACTGTTGTCTTATCACCCACTTCAGATATACTTTAAAAGACTCCTTTTTTGCTTTGTTTCCCTGATTGCTTTAAAACATCAGTGTTTCTGTTCCTAACCAGTGACGATGCAGAGTTGTTATGGCGGCTGGCACGGTCATCACGGGATCTGGCTCAGCTCGGTAGTACTTCTGCAGAGGAGAAGAAACAACTGACATATGACTCCCTGGAGTATGCAAAAAAGGCACTTGAAAAAAATGAATCAAATTTTGCAGCACACAAGGTGAGCCATGCAGAATAACTGAAATATTATTTGTTGATTTCTGCTTACAGAAAACAGAACAAATGCCATTGTGCTGTTTTAAGAACCTTCAGCGTAATTTAACTTTTCAGTTGAGAAAGAATGAGACTTCTAATTCTTCCTAAAGTTTTTGGAAGATCTGAGTTCAGACTTTTCCAAGTAAACTCCCTCTAGGGAAGCAGAAATACTCAGTGTGTGCAGGACCATGGAAAGAAGTGACTGATCGGGGTGATAACAGCTGATGTAATCAGCTCCTCCTGCCCCGATGTCACCTTAAAAATGTTGTACGTCCCAATTCAGCATGTCTTTTCTGGGCTCTGTAGAGTTTCACTGGAAATATTTCAAGCCCTGGCTGCCTTCTGTCCCTTTTTTTTTTTTTTTGTGTGTGTGCCGCTTCTCACAGGCAAAGAGGTAGCAAAATGTAGTCACTTGCCTTGGTGTCTTGGATGAGGATAGGACATTGATTCCCTTTACACATGTAGACCAGCAGCTTGCTCTGATGTTGATCGAGCTGTTCACAACAAATACTTACTGCTTTGTCAAAGCCTACCAGAACCCAGGCTAGCTCTGTATGCTCCAGTAGCCACGACAGGAGTGGGGAACAGCTGGGGACTGGGGTTTGCCCACAGCTGAACCTAAAGAGCTGCAAGCTCTACAGTGCACGGCAGGGACCAGAGGAAGCAGAAGGCTCTTTGTCTTGAGGTTCCACTGGTGGAGGGAGCATTTATTCCAAGTGGAGGGAGTGGGACAAAAAGAGCACCTCACCCACCTGTGCCAGGCGTTTATTTGCAGATACAAGTCAGGGGCGGATACAAACAGCTAACCAATAGGGAATCCTCAGGGGAGGAGTGAGGGGATTGCATAAACACTGTGGGACCAATCAGGATAGGGGGAGGAGAGGGGGAAGGTCAGTGGGCCGGTGGGGCATCGTGGATTAGGGGATTTCTAAGTGGGTGTTTCAATCAGGGATTGCCCCAGGGGGTGAGTGGCAGGGAACATTTAGGAAAAAGGGGCAGGGTTGCCTTGACAGGCAGGGAAGGGACTAGCACAAAAGGAGGGGAATAGCTCGAGGGACAGCTTTAAGGGAGGGTACAACTTAGGGAAAAACCAGCTGGAGGAAAACGTGAGTGGGTAACAGAATGAACCATTTAACAATAACTTAATGAAATAAACACAAACTGCAACACTGCTTGTGGTTGTTTGCAGTGGTGGTGGCTGTTCTGGTTGCAAGTTTTTTAAAATGTACTGTTAATATACTGTATTAAATGGGATTTTTGTTATTTGAATTACAGTGGTATGGAATTTGCCTCAGTGATGTTGGGGACTATGAAGGAATCAAGACTAAAATTGGAAATGCTATTATCATCAAAGAGCATTTCCAGGTAATGCAGTTTTTTGCATATAACAAGATTATTGTGTCCAGTATGTAGATTGTGTGACAGCTGGTAACTAATTTTTGGTGAAATATTAAAAGCATACTTCTGTTCAGACTTCCTAGTAGCACTGGGTTTGTTTTTTGGGTTACTGTGACACATGCTCCAGAAACGCCCCAGAAACACAGAGTATATTGTCTCCTGCAGTAAACTAAGTCACTTTAGAAGGGAGTCTTGAAATAGCTAAAGTGCTTTAGACACCTCTTAGGACTAGATCAGTTGTAACTGTGATAGTGAGAAATGGCAGTGTGGCTGTCCTTTTAACTGCGGATTATATAACAGTAAAGGACAAATACTGGAGAAGATGAAGCACTACTAATTTTGTATCACCAGAGATAATATCAAAATCTGAACATGCCAAGTCTCAAACACAACATTTAATAACCTACTAAAGAGACGTGCTTAGATATCTGTCAGTGTCATCAGACTTTTGGAGGTGAGCTTAAGAGGAGGTGAGATTAAGTTGTGCACTGAACAAGTAGTGTGTTGCCTTGAAATTCTACACACCACCGTCTGGTTTAATTAACAGTAGGATAACAAGTCTATTTTTAAATGTATTTTAATCCATGTGTCAGAATAACTTCTTTACATATTGTGGTTTTTTTCTTCCTGCACCAGAGAGCCATTGAACTGAATCCAAAAGATGCTACAACAATTCATCTTATAGGGATTTGGTAAGATGTATTTTCAAACTAAAGTAAGCACATGGCACAGAAAAATGCAAGAGTATAAAATATCTTGTATTAATTACAGAACTGCTTGGAATAATTTAGAATGTACTTGTAATTGATGCAAGCACGAAAACATGTTGAACAGATATAGGACATAATGCTTTGAAAAAGTCTAGCTATTAATTCTTATGCAGTTGTACAAGATTAAAAGTAATTGTTCATTTAATTTAATTGTATGGAACTGTTAAAAACTCCTTTTGCAGATGTTAAGTTTGCTTCATGGAATCCATAGTGGGCAGCAGTGATAGCAAGTAGTAGCTCATTTTTTTCTGGAATATGAATGGAGTCAAAACTCAGCACTGACTTTACACTGAATTTCAGTGATGGCTGCAACTTAATACAGTCCCTGAAAAGCTATCAAAAATGAGATGTGTTCTGAAAATATTTTTGTTACTATCTGTCAGGATACAGTATTTTAAAAGTTACATTAAATAAAGGGAGCTTATAAATGCATATGTATTAACCAGAAACCATTGAAATTTAATTTACTGCTCAATGAAAAAGATACTAAGAATTGCTGTTACATAGCAGGCAAATGGACTGGAAATAGAACTTTCCATACTAACCAGGGTATTCTATGCAAGTGGTGTGATGGAAAGCAGTATCATTTATGTGTTAGTGAGAGACTCCAGACAGCATTTTAGGTTATTTGTCTGAAAAGGCTAAAGGTGTTACGTTATTTTACCGGAGATCTCTGTTGTAAGATTGAGAGATTGGAAATAAAGGCAGTGTATTATCAGCTTTAAAAAATACTAAAACCCACAGTGAATTTTTCTATGGTTTTTTTGGATCCTGAGTATCAAAGAAAATGATAATGATAAATGCTCCGGAGTTTTTTACTAGTTCAGAAACTTTGGCATCCACCATTCATTCCCACATGATCTAACAATTGCAGTAGTCCAGATTTTTAAGCAGAAGTATATGCTACCAACTGAATAAACCTCAAAGTCCACTTTGAGATAGAAAGCTTCTTCTGGAAAGTACTTCAGACATTCTTCCTAAGGAAAATTGGAAAATATTATCAGAAATGTTAATTAATACTGCTTTTGGCTCTAAAATATTCCCATGTTATATATTTCAATGTACTCATTACTGAATTCCAGAGCCATCTTGATCTGGCATTTAGTATCAGCCAGTTCTTGAGTATTTTTCTCTTTCTTTTTCTAATCTGTTCTGGACTAAATCTTTATCTGATAAGGCACATCTAATGACAGAATTTCAACTCCAGCGGTGTATTCCATGTCTTGCCTGCCTCTCCTCCAAACATCTACAGTTACTAATTTTTCACCTCCTCTAGAATTCTCTATTTTACACAGTGAATAACAGTTGTAATCTCATTGTGGGAGGCTGCTAAAGTGAATATCATTGTTTAATGTTTGCACCCAGAATGTTCTGTGCACATGAAATGCTTCAATAAAAATGTTCAGTCTTTTCAGCACCAATAAGATAGGTGACTGATTGATTACCTGTGTTATTTAGTAGATAGAAAACCAGCATAGCATGGCTTAGCCTAGAGCACAGTGGTTTGATTCTTGAATTTATTTTCATTCTTATAGATCAGAGTCTCAGGAATGTACTGCAGATCTACTTTATATTAATAATTGAGAAAAGCAAGGTAGTGTTGAGGTAAGGCACTGATATTATTCAGTTGTGTTGCTTTTGCAAATACATTAGAACAAAATACACATAAATCATTAAAATCATTCAAGCTCAAAATCTGTCTCATGCTTAGTAATTGTTCCAGTTTTAGCTAACATAGTTAGTTCCCAGTAAAGCACACACCAAAACTTCTTTAGTAGCAGCTTCAGACATCTTGCTATTTTTGTTTACAGGTGTTAAGAACATGCTTATAGAATTTGCAGTGTGTCTGCAGTTTTGACTCTTGGAATCAACAATTACGACGTCCAGTTTTTATGTCCAACAACAATTCTGAGACTTTTGCTTGAAAACAAGTGAAATGTGAAGGGTAGATATAAATGTTTCTTTTTCCTTCAGGTGTTACTCTTTTGCTGAGATGCCATGGTACCAAAGAAAAATAGCTGCAACACTGTTTGCCACACCACCAACTTCCACTTTCCAAGAGGTACAGTATGAAAATATTTCATAGATTGTTATTCCCCACCCAAAGCTGATGATACATTTTGTACTTATTTTCCTGACAAACCTGACCTCTGATTATGGAATAAGCATGGAGTTACGGGTTTACAACTGTCAATAATAAAATGAGAACATGAGAGTGATAGGTATCTAAAAACATAAAAACCTTTAATTTTCTTCAGCTGTAGCACACACACACAGAATAGTGTAAATTATTTTGGTAGTTTTTGCATGAGAAAATAATAAACTATGTGTAACTTAGCTTGTATTTACTGTTGTGGTCTGTTGCAGATAACTATCTGTACTAGTCCAGTGCTGATGATTTATATGGTGGTGTTATGCCATGTACCTATTTGCTAGTTAATAGAATTTGTCCCCTTATAGTAAATGCTAATAGCAACAGCTCACTTTGTTACTTAAGATGAACAAATACCCTTTAATTCTCTGGCCACATATAGTGTGGGTTTTTTTCAATTGAAAGTACTTTTGTTCCTCTTTCCTGTGAAGATTCCTGCTGTCATACACCCTAAAACATACTATCCAGATGTTAATCCTTTGAAATAGTGTGTCTAAACCAGTGTGCATCTTATTTAAACACCCGTACATATATAGAAGCTTGACAATTAAATTGGTAATAGAAACGTTTGGTGCAGCTGTTCTAATCTTTGTTTGTTTGGAACAAGCAATAACTGTTTTGTTCTCTTAAAGGGGCGGGGGGGGGCAGGCTGCTTGCTGTTACACAGAAAACAAATTAAGAGCTGTTCGAAAAATAAATAAAACTCTTTAATGGAATGTCAAGCTTGTAAGTTTTCCTGAAAAACCACTCTCAGAAGAATAGAAAGTGTCAGCCAGGATTTCAAATGCTGCCAGAATAATGTCAGTCCCAGTATTCAGTTCTGTAGCACTTAAACTCGCTGAAGAAGCAAACTTGTACTGGTAAGATTTCTGCAGTTGCAATACAAATACTGTTTTATAGATAAATCCATACTTTCAAGTTCTGTGAGAGCTTTTTCCCTCCCCCTGCTACCATTAGGGAAAGGTAGGTATGGACTGAAATTTTGTATGTGCTGGATGGGAAGCTTATTGAAAATGTGTGGATATCATCGATGTTTAGCCTTATGTAAGAGAGGTTATGGTCTGGTGCTGTGTGGAAGTCAGTTCTCTCTCAAATATTTATTAATGACCTAAATCATAAGATTTTTTTTCATCTATTAAATTTATGCATGAGAAATAGATGGGGAAAACTGCAGATGTGCTGGATAGTACAAACAAAATTCAAAATTTATCTTGACAAGGTGAATTAGAAAAACAGTCAAACAATCCAGTCCAATCCTATTTGTTCCTATCAAACAATTCAGTTTGATAGAAACAAATAGGAGGTGCTACACTTATGGAAAAAAGTGGTAGGGGGATAGTGAGGTAAGTACTAGTTCTTTTGAGATGATGTCAGATCTAATTGGACATCAGTAGCATGCTGAATTAACAAAAATAATATCATGGACGGGAATTCCTTTTTCAGATATGTGCGTAAGCCTTTTGCTTGATTATTATGTTGAGTTTATTCTCCACTTTAAAGAATACAACTTTGTCTTTTACAGGCTCTTCGTTACTTCCACATGGCAGAAGAAGGTAAAACCTGTGGCTCATTTTCACTGAAAAATATCTTTTAGGATTGATGACTTCCAGTAAACCTCTAGCTGTCAGTGTTACCTTGGTATAAATGCAGCCACCAAACCCAAAACAGTATATGATCAGGTGATGAATGTCTTGTGCCAGTCAGCACAGAGCTGTTACATTGCAACATTTTGTCAGTATGTTACACATCTAGTATACATCACTTGCAGTGTAACATGAAGACGTTGACAGAGTAAATACTAAAGTGAAATTTATACCTTCCTGAGAATGAAGTACTCTTCCCTAAGGAATTCAACAGGAGTGCAGGGAGGCAGAAGAAATAAAAAGGGAATTCTGTGTTATTTTTTCAGAATTTTCTTAGAGTTTGAAAATCCTCTGTATTCTAAACAGAAAACAGAAAAAGCAGAATTTTTATTATTTCAGAAGGTATTACGCCAATCTGACAGTTAAACTGTACACATGATACAAAATAAAATATGAATGTGTTATTTCTCCAGGAGTGAAGCCATAAGCAAAATTCACTAGCTGAAAGATAAAGGAAGACAAGGGAAGACAGTGTTCTATGAAAGATTTTACATAGTTAAATTATTGAAGATTAGAGGAAAGGTTCATAGTGTGTCTTCCTGACTGTCAGGTAATGCAGCTGTGAACTTGAACAGTGAACTTCATCTCAAAATTTGCCTCCAAAACACCTCCATATGTTTCGAAACCTGACCTTAAATCCAGCAGTAGAGAAAGCCTGTGCTGTAAGTATGAACAGCAGGCAAGATTCATCTTTAATAATGAATGATGCTTTATAAAAGCAAGGTTTAAATCTCTCCTGAAAAAATGTTCACTGTGGATGCATATAGTTTTGTTCTGTGCAGCGAAAATTAAGCTGGTATCTGCTAGAAAATGTGCCCTATTTTCCCTTGCCTATACATGCTAAGCTGGTTGCATTGCCTGTTGTGCCTACTAGGTCCAGAAAAGCCCAAAACCTGAAAAGCAAAGCTGTTGTGCATTAAGCTCACTGCTTTGCTCTTTGTGAGGAATCTAGTGTCATTTAGTATATTAACTAGCAAGCTGCTAATTAATACAATTGTTTATGAGAAAAAAAAATCTAGCAAGTGAAAGTTTTACATTTGCTTCCTTCTGATCCAAAGCCAAACCATATTTTCTAAAACAAGTATCAAAGTAAAGTATAGTATGTTACTAATTCTCATCTAAAGCTTTTCTCCTGTCTCTATGCAGCTGATCCAAATTTCTACAGCAAAAATTTGCTCTTTTTGGGGAAAACGTACTTGAAGTTAAACAATAAGAAGATGGCTCTTCTGTGGTTAAGCAAAGCAAAGGAGTATCCTGCACAGACAGAGGAGGACAAACAGGTAGGAAGTTAAGAACTGTGATCATATATCATATGTTATATGATATCATATATCATATAATAATCATAGATTGTATTCGACATGTATGACATCATGGCAGTGGAATGTTTTATAAAATTAACTCAGGGCAGCTTATAGTTCAGCACCTTTAACTCAGAATCACATACAAAAAATTGTAGTATGCTACTAGGCACCTCTGGAAATTTTAGTTGGAAATACTCTGTTTTATTCATAGCAGAGAACTGTTATCCTTTCTTCTTCATGGTAGTTCCATAGTGCCAACAACGACCTTAGTTGTGTTTCTGAAGTTCACACAGGCACCTCACTAGCCTGTTTCTGTGTGAACACAGAATCACTTTTCATATGCCTGAAATGGGTAAGGTAGGAATTACATTTTGGAATAGCTCACCATCATGTGAACACAGGAAGAAAAAAACCCCAGATGTACCAAAACCTTAACACTGCAGTCCTTTCCAGGCCCCTAGGGAGAGATTCAGATGATCTGAGTAAGACAAATTAAGGTAATGTATCTTTGACAGCAAATCCCCAGTGCTAGATGTCATGAGTCACTTAATTACCCTTTGAAACTGTGCAGGATTCTGGTTTGGAGGGTAGGCATCTGTTTCCTACCTAAACATTCCAAGTACTTCCAAGAGAGGTAATCCATTAGACTTGTTCATACCTGATGATGCATTCAGTATAAACCAGAGCAATTGCAGTTACCTTTCAAAAACAGTACTGTTAGCATCAGGACTAACAAAGCCTCATTTCCATTTTATTTTTTTATGGTTGGTTGACTTCTGTTTCATTTAGCATTAAGCTGCAGTTGAGATGCACATTCTGAATGTCCATACAACAGTCTGACTGTCCAAAGTAAGAAATACTTTGGTAGGATTTTGCATTTCACACCTCAGAAAAAACACTACCAAGACAGTGTTTCAGAACCCTCTGTAGATTCGATAGTAAGCCTTGTCAAACTGTTTCTTCCAAAAATGAGTTCCTTTAGTGACATCTTTCAGTGGAAATACAAGCCTTACATTCCTCCAATGCCTTGCACAATATTTCGGAATTTAATAGCCTAAAGGAGTAGTGGTCTCAGGTGTGTAAGGAACTGGTCAGTTCTTCTAACAGTTACTAGTAGCCGGAGGCACACACGAAACCAGTGATCCAAAAAACTTGTCTTACTTTTTGAATTGTTCCTAAAGAATAGTCAGGAGTGAATTTTGTGCCGTAGCCAAGTTGTTAAACCACTGATCTGCTTCAGCTACTTGTGGCCTTCTGGTACAGACATCTATTTCTTAATCTCTTAGAAGGGTGCAGAGCTGCTGAACTGAGAAAGGCAGCATTCTCTCCATTCTCTGTGTGAATGTGTAAAATGCAAAATTCATTGGGAATTAGACTTGATAGTCCACTATGAAGGAAACTGGCCTGTGCAAAGACATTTGAATTCTTGTCTTAGCATAACTAGGTTTTTTGAACATTTGTTACTGCAGATACTCAGAGGTATCTGGCTTACACTGTCTGCATGGCTTGCTATGTCATTACCATTGTTGGGTTGGAGGTTTTTTTGTGGTTTGAGGAGAGAGGAGAGATGTTGAGATTTTTTTGCTGTTCGATTTGTTGTTGGGTGTTTTATTATGAATGTTAGAGATCATATTTTAAAAATGAATCATATTTTAAAAATTTTATTAGATTTTAACCAGAAACCTTAGGCAAACAGAGCTTCAGAAATGGTCTCACTTCTTAGTCACTGTCGGGAGTGTTGAAATCCCTAGGTTGGTTGGGTATGGTCAGAGGTATGACAACTTCCTGCATGCTCCTATTGGACTGCAGCAAATCAAGAACTAACATCTGTATTCAACACAAAGAAACTTCATTTACGTAGTAAATGAATGACACTGAAGACACTGGCTTAAGTGTTTTATTCCTATTCATATTTCACGTATTGAACATCCTAAACTACAGAAGAAAAATTACTCATCCTAGGACTGTTCTGAATTTGCACAACTGCAGGGAAGTATTTGGGTGCTTGTGAGGGAAGTTTTGCTAGTAGAGTCTGTAACTACCCAGGACTGTTACTTTACATTTGTTTGTTTCAGGTACAGAAAGAAGCTTTGGAGCTGCTTAATTCTATATAAGAAGAAACAAGATAATGGAAATTCAGTGGCTCAGGTTTGAGCAGCATAGGAAAAAGGCCCCAAATACTACTTCAGTTTACTGAAGCTGTTACTATAAGTACAGCTCAGACCTTCTGTCTCCCTCTCATTTCTATTAAAATCTGAACTGGAAGATCTGTTTCATTATGTGATCCTGTCTGTTCATTTACATTGGAATGAACGGGGTTTCATTCACAAGCAGGGTCTATAGTTAGACAGAAAAGGCTGGGAGAGTAATAGTCTGGATTTTTAATTAAGTTTTTTCCACTTCTAAACTACAAGTTATTTATGAGGAATAATAAGGAACATGACTAGCATAAGTTTAAAAACAGGAGGGACAGGGTTAAATGACAATTAAAATCCTGCAGTTTTTTCTACAGTGTTTTCTTGTGAAGTTCAATGGCCTTCAAGAGTAATAGATGCTCCTACAGATTTATCATTAAGGCTGCACCATCTTAATTCCAATTCTCTTAAATGCTAGTGTTGCAGAATGTGTTGTGGTTTAAAATAAAAAATGAAGGAAAAAAGAGCAAGTAGGGAACATCTAAGAAAATCCCTTTATGGGTGATATCAGCATGGGCAGTGAGAAGCTTTGTGATGATTTAGTGGCTGTAAACGTTTGCTGGGCACACATGCTTTACCCTAGACTGTAACAACAGGAGGAATACACGCTCCCAGTACATTAGAAAGGAACTACTTTGTGGAAGGATATGAACTTCTGTTTGTAAACATAAAAATTTATTCTTGGTACTTCTACTATGTTGGCAGGAATTTTCACCAGAAATACAAAGTAATCTTAGTTAGGTGTCCAGCCAAACTATATTCCAGTTACCCAAGAGAAAAAATGGACCAAAGAATGAAGAAATAGTAGGCAATACCAACATGTGGTATTCTCAGTAGAACTGCCTAGAAAAAAAATTGACTAGAAAATACCTAGAGTTTGCTTTACTAGAAAAGGGTATTGCAATTCTAGGAGGAAGATGAAGAACAGCATAAATTGTTTAGACTGGCAACAAAGCCTGAGCTAAGTCAGTAAAAATTCACAGTTGAGAGAGAATCTGGGGCTTGAATTAAAGCCTGATGCCACAAAACTGTAGTTAAAACAGGATTTTCTCAACTACCATAAAGTAATTAAATTTTTCTATTAGCAAAGCAACGTAATGGAGTCCTCTGTGTTACAGTGTCTCAGGGTGGGTGAGAGAAATTCTCTCTGAGTGTTTGAGAGAATTTTCTGCATTCATATTCCACAAAAACATCTGCACAGTCGCTTGTAGTAGCTTTGTGGCAGAGGCATCTTTACTTAGGTGCCTTTTCTGCTGCTACACAAAGGAAGAATAGCCAAAGTAATAGCTGTGAAGTGTGTAGTGAAAAGCAGCTGAGTTGCAGGAAGAAACGAAACAACAAAACCAAACAACAGCTTAAAGCAGTATTATCTGCCTGGTTCCCTGGCCTGATCTCCAACCATTGCTGCCTTACTTCCCCAAGTATAGGTGAAGTATGGGAAATTCAAGTGGGAAAAGAAAAATTACAAGTCTTACTGAAATTCCCAGAAAATTCAAGTACTGTACATACAAGCACACAGGTATATTATTTTGCTTTCTTTTCCTCCAGAGCCATTCTTTCAGTCAGGCTCTTGACACCAATTCACAGATCATACACATGGACAAAAAGCTACTGGATTTGGTTTTTTCGTGCTTACTAATACTTACCCCCAGGAAAAAGCACTGCAGGTATGAGACAGCTGAAGTTACCAAAACAATAAAACAACTACATTCTTGTGGTGTGCTGTCTTTTTTATTTCATTCAGTTACTCACAGATTCACAAAATTCAGCAGTTGGTAGTGGGTCACCAAGTCATTCATTAGTGCAAATTCATTAACTGTGACATTTAGCCCTCCTCGTCTTTTAGGCAAGTGACACACACACTCCTGGTGCCTGGCCTTTGACCTTCTTGGTTTGTTTTCTTAAACTTCCTCCATTCTAACCAGCATAAGTGATAATTTATGTGGATTTGCACTTCAAATGAATTTAGTGCTATATAAAAATGGTTTTGCAAAAGATATTTGGTGGTGTATGAAAAACCCTCAAAGTGGTGGAAATTTTTGAAGCTCTTACAGAAAAGTTCATGTAAGACAGCAGTCTGTTTGAGCCCACTGCACCACTGCTGTGACCAGAGCTCTGTACAGCTACAGCTCCAGGGTGCAAGCTGTGCATATTGACTACAAAGCCTTGAGACAATCCAATATGTAGAAAAATAAACTTTTGGCAGAATTCAGCTGCTGCATTGGAAAGATACATGAACAGATATAGCTGGTTTTTTCTGCATGTACACTTTTAACAGTGCAATATGATATGTTAACACAAGTGTGTTGAATCGTATTCTAAAATTATTTTCATGTGTGTACAAAATTCTGTGTAATTTAAATGTAATGGAATTTACAGGTAATATTTAAAGCATATTACAAATGGTGATTTAAAACACATTTTTACTCTACAATAAGGAAGCACAGTTTGCTAGAAGTAGCATTTAATATAATTCACATGAATAAGGTGTTAAATTTTAGTATTTTTTTAAACGTGTTTTGCAGTTCAGCAAATATATGCCAATAAAATGCCAATAAAACTAATTTTGAAATGTTTTTTATATTATTGTGCACTTAGGACAAACCTGATCTACATAAAAGGATGACAGGTTTATAGATGTACTTTATTCAAATACATCTAAATTTCAGTAATAATTTTAGAGAAATGAGAGTATTTAATACTAAATAATATTTTTATCTGTGCAAAGCCTAAGTAACTTTCATTTTATTTGAGTTTACTAGATCCAGTATCTGAAACTGAACAAGAACACAGAAAGCAGCAAAATTCACATTACCTTTTGTATACCCTTATAGCTCAGTTTACATTAATATAACTCTACAAAGTTATAAAAAGGACATCACAGATTGAAAAGGGAAACCAAACAAAACAAAACCAAATTAAAAAAAAAAAAGCCTGCAAGACACCAGACCAAGAAGAGAATGGGTAATATTTTCTCTTTTATTATTTTTTCTTTGAAGATTACCTAACATCCTCGTGGTAATAACCCAAGGTACTATGTAAACAAATTTCAATGCTGCTCAAATGAATTAAAATACTCTGTTCAGCTCCTGCAGTAAGTCAGAACAGTGGCACCAATTCCTTTCAACAATAAATCACATTCATCTCATTGTACATGACTCTTGTGCAAGTAGTAAAGGCTTTATTCATGACCTTGGCTACATCAGTAGAGAGGGATATATCAGCTATTTATGTGTTTAAAAAAACTAAACTGACAGAAGAACAGATTCTGTCGTCTCAAATACCAGCAGCATCTTTCTACATATTTAGGATACGTTTGGCCTAAGCCTTTAACACCTTTTAGAACAGCCATGCAGTAAAACAAACTTGGAGATGTTTCTTTAGAGAACACTGAGCAGTTTAAACATTTTTCTGAATGATAAAGCCAAGATAAAGCAAATCCAGGCCCTTTTGAATGGCTGCAACTTTTCATACACTTAAAGCTCTATAAAACTAGAGCCCATTAGTATATATATTTATATTTTTATATATATATATTTTAAATAAGTCTCTTGTCTGCTTTCAAAATTTATGGAGGGGTTTTTCTGGTCTTTTGAAAGGGCAATAAATAAAAGTAGAAAAGGCTGAACTGTTTTGCATATATTTGTGGAAGAACGGAGAACAATTAAACTTTTAGAGTTCCAGAAAGATCACTGTACAAACAAAAAGCTTATATACAGTTAAGTGTGCAATTTTAGTTGGCTGGGCCTTTTATTATTCAAGATATCCTTTTTAACTAGAAGTCACTTCTACTCTTGTCCAAATCCTTCCGTTTCTTCAATGGCAAAGAGCAACTTCTCTTTTAGTTGTTCATAGCTTTTGTACGGTGGCAAATCCAAACGATTAAAACTGAGCAGAAAAAAAACCAGAATTTTGTTAAGTTTACTTAAATCCCATGTAGAACTCTACAGAATTCAATTGTTATAGTAGAAGTTATAAATGTTCTGATCTAACTATTAGAAAAAAAAGAAATAACAATCAGCACAATCTCACTGCCTTGGCATTTCTACAAGGAAAAAGTCAAAGGTTCAGAGGAATATTTTAAGAAACAAAAGACTATTATCAGATAAAAAACCAGAATGGTGAAAGACTAAAGACTGTCTAAGATACAGAAAACTATAATACTTCAAAAAAATATAATATAAAAACATGATACTTACAATAATAATTGCTTATAATAGTAATACATAGAAAAGGAAATTTTCAGCATGAAGTTTAATATAATCCTAGTTTGATGCATCTCCAAATTTCAACAGCAGCATGAAAAAGCTGAACTTTTCTCCTTCCTAAACATGCTTGGATCTAGGTGGGTGTTTTTTCCCTCTAAACTTTGCCCTAAACGACTTCTGCCAAAACATTTCATTCCATGTCTTCCTCAAAATTATCCTAGACAAGATATGTTAAACTCTTGCAAACATCACTCAAAAATTCAGTGGAGAAAATGTAAAATGGAGGATACCCTTAAATAGTTTAAAAGTATGATGAATATTATTGTCACAGGTTGCCAAAGGAAAGTGTGTCCATTTTGCAGTCTGTATAAAACACTGATCTGTGTACCTGACGCACCAGCTCAGTATGCACAGGAATGCCAAGCCAATAATGGCCCATCTGAAGCCTGGTGGGAAAAAGTATCAGCATTCTTGGCTAAGCATCCTTCTTCTGAAGGTTTGCTGTCATTTCTGTCATGCTACTTCTTCTCATTTTATCTTTACACATTTTATATTTTATAATGTTACTGCATAATAACTCTAACAACTATGTACCTACTAATAACATGGTATGTTCAGTTATTTAATATTCTCTAAAAGAATTAGGAAAACACCTTTCAGTTCTACACAAGGATGTTCTTAAAATTTTGATACATCTGACACTGACAAACTGTTCAGCACAGTTGCAAAATTTAAGAAGAGGGCAACTAGGAAAGTTTTCAATACTGGCATGTCAGGGCAATCAAATGAAGCTGAAGATGGAGATAGAGAATTGATCCAAATTAGATTTCATTTGATTTGGCTCATGCAAGCCTGGAAGAGATAAACCAGTAA